CTGCCTCTTATTAATAAGCACTGAAGTAGCCTACAAGTCATGCTGAGACAGGAAGGACCTGAACTAATGCAGGTAATTGTGGGAATGCTTTGGAAACCAGCCCTCTGGCTATACTAACTCAGGAGACACATAAGAAATTGTGGATTCAAACATATTCCCTCTAAACTTAAATCCCCACAGAATTAGATACTATAGGTTAGATCATGCACAAAATCTTCTGGAAATGCAATTTTAGTTGATAAAAACATAGGACCTTTGACTGATATTAATACTGTAAATGGTGCTGGGTGTTTGTTTGAGATTCTAGGAACAAAAATTTCTGGCTTAGGGGACAAGGTCATGGAAAATTCACAGGCAACAGGAAATAGCTGTAATGATGGAAGGTGGGTCAGCTGAGCAGAGACACAGCCAAGGAGGGGTGAGTGTAGACACTATATGCTAACCATAATTGAGTTGCCTAGCAACATCAGAAAAGCATCTTCTTCAAGTCTTCTGTCGAGGTTTGAAGTGCATATCTGTTAATGCCTGCACCACCATACTATGTACAGAATACATGTGCATGAATATGTACATCTTGTATTTATAAGTGTTTGGATGTTGATCTGCCTTACTCAAGAGAGATGGTTTAGTTAAAAGGGGAAATAGGCACATTTTTGAGGTGTCTGTCAAACTTAAAGGACTGCAGTTTCTAGTGGGTTCTAGATTTGTTTCTGATTGGAAAATTGGATCATTCACTCTTTAGTGAGTTTGTGGAGTATTTGTGTGGGCAAAGAGGACTCAACATTGTTTGTCTGTACCACAGCCACCCTGTAGTACCGTATGTAAGAAAGATTTCAGTACAAAAACAAATAGCAAAATAAAACCAGAGCACTTCACTGAGTCAATTAAGGGTTTGTCACACTAGAGTGAATGTAGTAAATTTCAATCCATTTTCCTGTACTGCCCCATTTACATATTTCTTCTAAAATTCAAATTAAGAACTCAAGTTAGACTCTCACAGCAATAAAAGATTTATTTAGGAGGAACTCAACTGATAAAATCAGGGATTCGATGAGAACTCCCTCTGCTCAGTTCTGAAGTGGCATCCTAAGTACCAACTCCATTCTTTCATCACAGAAAGTCCTCCTGTAGATACGTCTGGAATCTAGTTTCTAGGTGTATTCTGTATGAAAAGTATAAAGCAGTTGGGAATAAGGAAATCTTTGTCTTATGTCCTTCTCCCCATCTAAGCACAAAAGGGGCTTGCATCCATCCTGGAATCATTAGCTTATGACATAAACAGTCATTTAAGATTTACTTGCATTACTGATACTTCAAAAGTCATATTTATGTATTTTTCCATATAGTAGATCAAATTCAATCTCTAAAATCTATTAAATTACCAGGGCAGGGATCTGGGGGGATACAGCTGTGTGCTGTCTAGAATACCCAGGCACCTGTGCTGTCTAGAATGGTTAGGAACCTGGGTTCAACCTGTAGCACCAATATAAAAAGAAAATAAAAGGCAGGAGGGAGAGAGGGCAGTGGAAGTGCCGCAAAAGCAATGTAACTGACAATCAATATAACTGAATCCTAAAAATCTTATCCTGGTACACAGAGTGGTGTGTGTGTGTGTGTGTGTGTGTGTGTGTGTGTGTGTGAGAGAGAGAGAGAGAGAGAGAGAGAGAGAGAGAGAGAGAGAGATTGAGTGTATGTGTGTGTCTGTACATGTGTGTGTACGTGTGTGTGTGTGTGTGTGTGTGAGAGAGAGAGAGAGAGAGAGAGAGAGAGAGAGAGAGAGAGAGAATGTGTATTCCATTCTACTCTTTGACAAATAAAAAGAACACAGCTATTTGTTTTAATACTGGTCATCTATCTTGATGTAACATCACAGAGATGATCTAGTTATTTATAGATCAACACATAACCAACAGATGCTCTTCTTACAGTTTCTATGAAAATCCGGGCAAGTTAGAATGATAAGCATCATTTTAAAAGAACGTGTTTATCAATTCCATTTAAGTTATGGTCATACAGATTTTGTAATGTGTTCATAGAAAAAGTTAACAATAAATAGGCAGAAAAAAATTGAGCAAGATTTATTTCAAGTAGAAAAAAATCAAAACAAAACAAAAAATCAAAAACGACAATTTGAAATAAAATATCACGGCACAAATGATTTGGCAAATTTTATCTCTTCTATGGCAAGTGAAGACCCTTTCTGAACCCAATGATGACCCATACCTCATAAGCTGGGAGGAATTATATACTTTTGTAAGAACTTCTGAATTGAAGAAAAAAATAACAAAATGTATCCTTTCATTGTTAAAACCTTTCTCTTCATAGCAATTTAGCTAATATGACATAAGTGAAGCAGGATCTGACAGTGCTAGTCTAATTCTTCAACTGAAATAAAAATTAGATGGCATTTAAAACAAGATGGTGATGTTGCTGACCCTGTTCTGTAGAGTGGTTATTATATAGAGTCTGTACATTTCTTTTATGGAAATCTCACTGTCCTGGCAGTGCTAAACAGGTTTTCACTTCTTTCAAACTACTACAGTCGATTTCAAAGATATGAGTACTTGTTTAAGAATAAGTAGTTAAATGTACTCTTATTGTGCTAATCCCTCCCCAAATCTCTAGCCAAGTGTGTCTGGAAAGTACAGCTACTGAAATTAAAAGATCAGAGTAGGAATTATCTGGTGTTTTTTTTTTTTTTAATGAGAAACAATGCCACAGTAGGACTTTCCATTACTAATGGTACATTCTTTTGGCTATTCTGAACATCATAGCAAGGAAGCATTCATTTAGGTAGGATCCATTCTCATGGATCCATGGATAAACAAAATGCAAACCTCCAATTTTTCTCAATACTGCTGTCATTGTAGATATGGAATCTATCAAAATATTTAAACTTCCATAGTCTAAATATTATAGCATTCATTCTGAGGTCTATGGCCAAAACCTGATAAAGATGTCACCAGTTAGCTTTTGATCTAGAGCAATTTCCTAGATATTCTGGATATCAAACAGAAAGAAATCCTCCCACTCCCCCAGTCAAAGTTTCAGAGATGATCATTCAAGCAACTGTGGCTCTCAGAAAGTTCAGTATGGGTTTTATAAAATTTGATTAACAGCAGGGAAACACACAGCATATTATTAACATTCATAATAATTTAGACATTATTTGATATAAAAATTTACCCACCAGGTTTTTGATAAGGAAAGCAAACGAAGAGGAGGAAGGCATGTATGGAGCAGATGAAGTATGCATTTCCTCAGTGGGCCCCATAATAGTAGGTGAAGTATAATTCAAGAGGTTAACAAGCCATGCTGTACTCCTATACAGGACTGAGCTACCTGGGGGGCCGGTGTAGATGTACCCTGTTTCATATCAACTGCACAACGAACCTGCTCACTGCTTGGATCTGGGACTTACCTTAGTTGCACAAAGAATCCATTAGGATAGTTCTGACTTTTTAAATGTTTGCATTAGGACACATCGTCTGATATTCTTTGAAAAAAAAAATCGGCTTTCTTTGTTGCTTTCTGTTCCTGCCAGTCCATGTTTGCGTGGTTGACTTTCCAGTGATGATGGCGGGTTTCGATTGATGGCATGTTATGCAATCAGGAGAGCACGGGAAGCGCTTAGCACTGAAATCACATACTCTCTGTCTTTCTCATAGTATGAGTCAGTCTATTTCCTATAGATGATTCAACATTGTGGTTTTTGAATCTTACAATTTATTGCTAATAATGTCCTAGGTAGCTTGATGTGGAAGCTTCGGTAATGCTACGCTGTTTGAATCAAACTCAGGAACTATTTCACTATACAGGGAAGTCAAATAATACAGCATTTATAACAGTTACAAAGCACTTTGTGCTACCTTAAGCACCTCTTGTTCCAGAATTGCAAACAAAACCTTATGAAAAAAATCAAAACATTTAACCCCCATTTTGCAGATGAGGAAACTGAGGCACAGAGAGGTTCAGTGACTGGGCCAAACAGTTGGGTCAGCATTAAATACAAGGACAAAAATGTGAGACCCCAGGATTATGTTTTATCTTGAAGATTATTCAGTTGTTCTGGCTTTGAAAATGCCAGTGTTAAAACTGAAGGAGTATATACTCAATTCACATATGGAACTATTTGTGTAGCATTTCATAGAAAGAGTTTCTGGCTCCCTACACACATTCTCTATGCATGGGAATTCTAACCCCGAAAAGAAAACATTGAATATTTGAAAAATTGAGGTTGCCCTGTTATCTACAGTCAAGGAGGTGAAAATCAGCTTTTCAGGAGCATATATTTACTGTCATTGCTGAAACCAAGACTCTGTAATACGTGACTTAAGAAAGGATCAGTTGTCTATCTGCCTGTGGTAGAGAACCACCTTGTCAGTATTGTCTATAAAAAAGTAGAGCCATCTTGTTTCGGACAGCTATCTCAGAAAATAACGCTACTGTTCTAAGTGACAAGAGTTCAGATTGCTCTGGGTATAACAGGATATTCAATATCCACAGCTCTCTGGCAAACCCCACATTCAGTAGTCAGCTTATCGTCATTCCTGTGGGGTTTTCATACAAGTTGGATAGCATATTCATCTGTAGGCAATTTTAACTTGAATCTGGAGGATGCAGAGTTGCTCTCTGGCCCTAGATCCCTATAGATCTTGATGTTTTAGACAGAGCTAAATTGGGGAGTTTGTGACTTCTGAGTATAATCTTCACCATTTTCAATATGGATGAGACCAGTCCATCCATGGTGGAGAAATGCAGGTATGTAATACTAGGAAGTATTCATTTCCATTTCCATTCCATGTTATACTCCTCAGAGTCCCTTGGCTCAGTTGCTTGTAGGGTAACTGGGATCCACTTCTCATCCCCAACTCCACCTTTTGAAGAAACAAAATGGAGAGTATTTTTCTTCCCTCCTCATCATAGATGTCTCTGTTCCTGAGTTTAAAACAATCATAAAGACAGAAAAGCAAATCCCTGTAGTAAGAAACCAGACTTTTCAAAGGAAACATTTTATTGTAAATAGTTCCTCATAGGTATTATTCCTCCTGCTTCATTACCCGCCCACCCTTGGGTTGGTTTTTTTTTTTTTTACTTTTGTTTGTTTTGTTTTTTTAAAATCATGTTTATTTTCAGGAATAGTGTTTCCATGGGGTGTGGTGTTACATTAAAATGACCCCCCTGCACAGCAGGAGTTGAATGTTTCTTTGTAACTTTGGTTCCATGCCCAAGACACATCTTCTCTTGATCTGCTGAAACTGGTTCCACTGCTGAAATTTTCCTTCACATAATATATGTTTATAGTTCTCTTCTTCTGCTTTGACATACACAAGTTTCATTAAATGCAGCATATAATGTAGATTTTTTTCAACAGGGTCATTATAAACTGTCAAGTAAGAAACCTTGAATAATGGCTTTAAAGCACATAGTCTTGGCTACAGGGTAATTCTTAGCTTTTGATTTCCCTTACATTGGTGTAAACAATTTTGCCATCTTTGAAGGTTTAAAAGCATTTGCCTTCTGGGGATATGATCCAAGTTCTTGATTTTTCTATAAGATAGAGGAAAAGAATTTATCAGCCATCATTTGTATTAACAGCTAATCAGAAAAAAATTCAACTCTTACACAAGGCAGGTTTTGTTTAATATCTGGCAGCAGAGCCAAACCAAACCCCCAAATAAACTTTAATAAAAAGGCAAAAACATTTTTTATTCTTGTCTGTGTTCTTTGAGCTGAATATTTTTTGGAAATCATGTAATATCTCGAGACTTAGTTAGTTTAAGAGAGGAAGAACAATTATTTACTCTAGGAGTTTATTGAAATAAGACACATATAAAGAAATCAACAGCTTTCATAGAAAGTACTCTAATATATCATTATTGCCAGACATTGTTTTAAAAGCTACTTCACCTACAGCTTTTTATGACCTACTTTTAAAGTCACACTTTCTATTCTATAGTTATAGCAGCTGGCGTCTTTCTTCACCCTAGGCGAACTGCCTGAGGATTCTACAGGAAGACTTCTTTGTTGGCTGAAATGTCCCTGAAACTGAGCTGTGGCCATGGGGCTTTCCTCTGTTCCTAATTAAGGACTGCTGTTTGTATTTCCACTTGAATATAACTTTCCTTTATAATGTTCTGTCTTCCACTGAAAGCCAGAGAAGTCAAAAGAGAACAGGCTGCTGTGCTTTACTTAATGACACAGATGGAGAAAATCTTTTCTTTGTTTGTTGTAGTATCAAGTTATTCACCTTCTCTAAGCAGCAATTTTTTTATCTAAATAAAAAAAATGAAGATACTATTTCAATAGAAAGACTATGCTATTGCCCTAGAAATGTCAACCAAGATCTAAATTGATAGAAAAAGAGGTATTTCATGTATCTTAACCATGTTTTCAAATCACCACATAGAAGCATATTAAGCAGAAAATATTCCTGCTGCAAGTGCAAGTTAGACATATTTGTAATGTGTTCTGCGGGGACAGTTTGTTGTAACGTCATGGTTAGATTAGGATGGAGATGGAAAGTCACGGAGTACACTACAGGGAAGATGTACAATGAATGAGGGGTGAGATTATGATGGGAGAGGAAGGGAACAGAAGACAAGTGGGTGGGTAAAAGTACTTGCTGCATAAATCTGATGAGCTAAGTTAGGATCCTCAAATCCCATCAAAAAGAGGCTGAATGTTGTGGCTTACATATGTAACCCCAGCACTACTATTATGATATGAGACATGAAGACAAATTTATCTGGAATCTCACAGATCGTCTAGTCTAGAGTACATAGAATAACAGCAGCAGCAGCAGCAGGAGAGAAGAGAGAGGAGAGGAGAGGAGAGGAGAGGAGAGGAGAGGAGAGGAGAGGAGAGGAGAGGAGAGGAGAGGAGAGGAGAGGAGAGGGAGAGAGAGAGAGAGAGAGAGAGAGAGAGAGAGAGAGAGAGATGGATAGACAGAGAGAGACTTTGCCTCATCAAAATGGAAGGAGTCCACATGATGAATACACTGAGGGGAGGGGGTGTTACCAAGAGGCATCACCAAAGAAATTGGTGATGTGTACACTGGAGGAGACCTGCCTTCTGTATACATAATTTTTCCTCTTCCCTTAGTTTTTAGAGGAGAGAATGTAGAGAAATGGTAGAGTGCAAATGGGTTCTGAAGGCTCATTATCTCTGCTTATGCTTCAAAAAAAGGTGACTCAGCAAGAGGCTGCTGGCTGTAGCTCCACTGATGGGAGCCAGAACAAGTAAAGCACTGGAGAAGGTTGGTTCTCAGATTGGCTGAGACTAGAACTACCATATAGTAGCCTATCAGTTCTGCCTATCACAGTTAGCCAGATAACACTTGTAGGTGTAGTTAATACATGTTAGTTGTAAAACCAGCTAGTTTATAGATAATTTCCTAGGCTTTTACAGTTCTACACATTAAGAGGTATCTTTAAAGGAAATTGTTAGTGCTACTGTGAGGCCAGCTGCATTAAAACTGAATGATTTCGGTTATCCAAAATCACAACGTGGGTCACGGAGATTCTTCTGATCAAGTACTTACAAATGCTGAGTGTACCTTCATGAAGCACACTAGTTGCAGCTACCATTTTAAAACCCCACATGCCATTAGGCTATGAACCAAGAGTATGTCATGTCTGATTTGTGACTTTAGTATCTTTAAACAATATTTTTATTGATTCTTAAAGACTTTCACATAACATATTTTGACAATATTCACTTTCATCCTTCAAATCCTATTCCTACCTCAACAACTTTTGTTCTCAAGTGTTTTATTTTTAAACCCACTGAGTCCAGTTTGCTCTGCTCTTGGATAGCAGTTTTCCAGTGCAGCATGATTGACCTCCCCTGGACCACACCCTCAAAGCAAACTGCCTCTCTTCCAGCAGGTAGCATCTGCCAAAGGCTGTATATCCTAAAAGCACCATCACTTTACCAGTCACACTATTTGGAAATCTAGGGACAACTCTCAAACTTTCCATTTCCTCAGCTCAAATGCAATTTATCATACAATAAATTCATGTGATATTTAACAAAGGATAGCCATCGTTATCTCTATTTTTCTGAAAAAGAAAAAAGCATTGAGGGTTGTTAAGTAATTGATCCGTGGGAGTTTGAGTGCAGAAATATACAATACTGAATGAAAACTGATTGAAGCCAGAGGGTAGAGGTTTCCTTGACTTTTCTACTGACAAAGGAGGCAATATCTTCATGGGCTGGATGATTTTCCCATAAATGCCTGAGGGAATGAAGTAGGTCCTTTTTGGCTTTCTAGTTCCTCTCTTGTATGGAGACATACTCTCTCTTACAGAACATCTGTCATTTTTAAAGCAGAAACAAGACTTCATGCCAGTGCTTGGATGAAAACTTTTTAACCTCCATGTTGTGAAAAATAACTCATTAATATTTATAAATCACTCAGTCTTGGGAAGTTTTTAGTTTGTTTGTTTTAAATGGGATGGAGATAAAAAATAATAAGGTGCAACAAGATAATAGAATTTACTTTACAGTGCTGTTATTAGTATTAAAATATGGCTCTGAACCCCCTCATACCCCTTTTTGGCTGGAGCGAGAGACTGAAACCAGGGTTTTATATATATGCAACAATGATACTTTTAAAAAACTATCAGGGATCACTTATAGTTCTGCTCAAAGAAAACATGCATGATTCATGTTTATTCACTTTGCTTTAAACAGTACATATCTTCAAGTCTAAGTTAATGTTTATGAACAGAATACATTTTGACTCCATATATACAAAATCATCTTTAGTGTGCTTTTACTACCTATGAACAATCTGATCACTTTTCTATCTTCTTTCTGTCTTTATATAGATGCTTTGTAGACACAGATAACGTAGTTCAGTTTTTAGTAGTGTTATATTTCCATAAATTAATTAAGATAGGATTATTTTTTGAAAAGAAGTAACTTTGTTTGGATTTAGGCTATGATCTGCTTGGAAATACTGAAAGTTATACTTTCATTATTTGTATTAGAAAGTCAACAAATGTAATAACTAACTTTAAAAGTAGTAATAGCTAAGAACTGTGAATTATCTATTTTGCAGGCAATTTGATAAGTATTTTTCATGCGTGCACGACTTAATTCTCTCAACACATCACCATACTGAAGGAAAATACTTAAAGACTCATGTAGACTAAATATATTGTCTGCTGTCAAACTTATGTTCAGTGGCAGAGTTCACGCTATAACTGACTTCTGTAATTCTCAGCTATAACTGTAAACCACTCTCACTTTCTCTGTATTCGTTTTATACTGACTAGATTTATTATCCCATTCATTTGCCATTGCACTTTCACATTAGTCAGTTGTATGCCTTTTTGAAGTACATATCCAATCTTGACCATTCTTGAGAAACTTCCAAAGCTAGCAAAAACTGTGGAGATGACACAGAAGGATTTCTCAAGCCAATGGCTGCGTGATGCGCAAGACAGCAAAAGATGCTGCGCCTGTGTGAATGAAAGTGCAGGTCCTTCAGGATGAAGTAGAGATGTCCTGCTTTTGCTGGTTAAAACTGCCTGGGGAGTGAAGCATGTGAGTGCAGATTCTACTCTGCCAAATACAGCTGCGTGTTAGCAGAAAGTCACCCGATGCCACTCTTCTGATCATAAAACAGGAATAAAAGCCATATTTACCTTGTAGAGAGTTTGATGAGGATTGAAAGTACTTGTCGCTGACTAACTCCCAGTATGTGACAGTGTGAGTGCGAGTGACACTGGAGGTCCCTTTTCTCCAACTGGTATTTGTCCATTTGTCTTTCCTAAGTTTCTATGCAGCACTGGCTCTTTATTTATTGTATCTACTCTGCTTATTTTGAGGAGGAACTGTTTGCAGACACTGTGGCCCCATTACTGCCTTACTATAACCTTCTTCTTTTACATGCTATGTTCGCCCTCCCTTTACCAGGCTTAGTCTTCTCAGTGTCTGGCAAAATTATTGTCGGAAAATGAATAGTTTCAGACTATAAGGAAAATCTTTTGGAAGAAGAAATAAAGGCAGAAGGGTGATAATCAAAGGGTGTAAACTTTCTGAGCTGTTTTCTTTGACTCTCCTAAAGTGAGGTCATGCTAAAGCCTTCTTACTCCTTTGTTTTGCAGGGGGAAATAAAGTTAATGTTCACAGGGAGGGAGAGTGTGTCTCTTCTTTTTTTTTTCTGCTTGTTAGGAAAAAAGCCCAACAACTAATATGAAGCCTAGAAAGGAACTCTGGTTAGTGTAACTTCATGAGATAATCATAGTCAAAAGTGATCCATAGAGAGTATATTTAGAATGTCAGGGGAACCCCCTTTGTACACAGTAGTTTTGAGATTTGAGGTTTCCATTGCTGACTGGATACCAGAACCACCTGCCTTGCTATGAAATGCAGACCAATCTCTGCTCTCTTTCATTCCCACCTTCTGTCAACTCTATCAGTTCAAGTGGTCTCACTCAGGAAGCACATGATAAGGCTTCCATAGCTGTTATTTTCAGCAGTGAGAACCATGAGATAGACTCGCTGATGTACGTGCTCACCAGACAGGGAATTGGTAGTGCCCATCTTAAGATTTCATTTCACCCCCTTGAATTGATGTGTTGTAAAGTATCTTGTTTCAAAACAAGATCCAAGTTCACTTAATATCCTGCTTTCCTGACTTCCGATGAGGAAAGATTAAGACAGGGTTGCAATAGTGGTAATGACTAGCATGGAACCAGTATTTTCTAGCTGAAGAAATACTAAAAAGATGGTGATTTTTTTTTTTCAGTTGGTGGATAGAGACACACCTTCTACATGATGGACAGCCACAATGAGAACACTAAGGTTCATAGACACTGCCATTTCTCAGGGTAATAAGATTAGCGAACAATTCCATTTTACACTATAGGACTTTAAGTTTTAAAAATAGCCAACCTGAATTGGACCCATTTCCCATTTTCTGATTGAATCATTTAGTTTTGGGGAAAAAACACGCTACAATAACAACTTATAACATCATCCTTATCGACCACTTCCTAGAGCCAAATCGTTGGGATAAATGGAATCTTACCTTTAAGAGGCACCTTGACATCAAGGCCATAGAATGAAGGCAAGAGAGAAGAACAAGAATAGAAACAGAAACTGCAGAGGAAAAAGAAGGAGATTATGTAAATCTGAACTTGCCTCAGCCATCTAAGTAGCACAAAAACTCAGCTTTTCCACATTACCTCATTTCAAAACACCACACAATCAGTCATCTGTTGCCAGAGCCATGCCTCTAACACAGATACATACATTTAGAGTTAATGGCAAGGGAGTCTCACAGGCAATTGCTCTTGGCATTTGGCTGCAAATTTTATAGATGATTAAAAATTAAGCACAGAGTGTTAAGTCTGTAGTCTAACTTCATACATTCTTGGGTACATGGAGCCAGATATGGTGAGTTGCACTTTACTGTGAACATTATCTCTCTTTTTTCAGGGATAGGAGGGTACTTCAAAATGTAATCAGAGATCTATGCTTATTAAGCTCTTAATAAACTTATTAAGCTCATTAATGTGACAGATTTTAAGACCAAGACCCAGCAGGAAGAATATTAAGGAGTCTTGTGATGGAGCACCGTGAGTAGAATACAGCTGAGAAGATGGGACACTATTAGGAATTAAACAGCAATAAAAAGTATAATTTAGCATATTCTATGCAACTTTGAATGTATGGTCCTCCTACTGGTATGGAAGGTACTTCTAAATCAATAGGTATTTTAGATAATGAAAGCGTGATATACCAGCTGTCCTCGTTTTTAGATAGACCTCTGTGTATGTGACTTATAAATAGTCTAATTTTATCTCCTTATCAAAATCCTTCATTAGAGAACAGAAAATCAGATGAATAGATTTATGCTTATGAAGTTCTAGGATAAAATCAACTGTGTATTAATTATGAATTGTCACAGGCCAGGTGTGTTTTCAAATGTGGATTCCCTTGGTAGTCTTCATGTCCATTACGCCATGCTAGGAATGTTCTATGAATACAGCATGTTGGAATAGGAACCGGAATGGCTATTTACATAATTCTGTCATTGCCGCTCCTTATAATATTTTTGTAGCATTATTACAACTAAATTATAAAAATAATATGCTGAAAGCTATGAGTTGATGACTTTTTATTTATTTTTCTATTTACATATATTATCTATAAATTATGTTAATATTTTGGTATTTTGGATTTATAAGTTCATGACTTGTTCTAGTAAATGAAACTTTGTCTTTTTAAAAGGTATTTCCTTTATGTTTTTGTTTGTTTGTTTATTTTGGGTTTGGGTTTTGAGACAGAGATTATTTATGTAACTGACCTGACTGTCCTGGAATTCAGTTTATAGACTAGGCTGGCCTTGAACTCACAGAGTTCCTGCCTCTACCTCTTGAGTGCTGATATTAAAGGCCCAAACCTAGCTTTTAAAAAGTATTCCTTGAAAATACACACATAACAAGAAGACTAGAGAATGAGAGAAAATGGGAGGCTTCGCACCATTCCTTCAAGGAGAAGGTTGAGCTGAGCATGGAGAGATGGCTCAGTCTGTTACAATAATCTTAGTCGTTGCAGTGCAGCGGGACCTAGAGTTTTGGTCACACTGGCATTTCCTCTTGATTTTCTGTAGACTGGTTATACAATCTTGGGCAAGATGTTTCCTTTTTTTGATGCATTGCTTATTACATAAATAAAAAGGGTCATAACATCTGCTGTGTCTCCCTCATGAAATCATCATATGAAACAATGGAAATAGCAACAAAGGAAGTACACTGGGCACTGAACTGCTGTGCGCAGTTAAGGATGTTTTGCTTGGTTTGTTGATAACTTCTGATTCTCACCAACTGTATGCATGGAAATGAGCCACCCCAGCCTGGCAAGGACACTGTGTGCAATCTGCATAGGCTTTAAAAGTGTGCTCATGCAAAGGACTCTTAGCTGATTTAAGCTGCATGGAAAGAGGGAGTGAGGCCGAGGGAGCAGAACACTGGCTGTGAACCTTCTCTCCCATTCTACCCCTCTCAAGAGTCACCTGGCTTGTCATTTAAGGAGCTCAGTTCATTACCTTAAGACAATATTCAGCACCGATTGCTGCATTGCTTCATTATCATAAATGTCTAGGAAGTTCAAGTCTATAAATATTATGGAACAAAATGAATACGTGACATTCTCATTAAATTCTGACAGCTGATAGAGTCTTCTTAATTCCTCTTCTTCCCAAGTTTCCACAGGATCTATTTAGATAGGAGATGAAGTGGCAACCCTAATAGAATTACTCTGCTTCTGGAGTAATTCTCTCCTTGGAGGTGATACAACTTCCAGACCCCACTGACCTCTGTGACCTTACATATATGAACTCACGTCCTTTTTTGAGTAACTCAGTTCTCCTCATAGTCTCAGGAATGGCAGACTGTTTGCTACTGTCTTCTTGAATCCCATGGAAGTTGCTACCAAATAACTCATTTCAATTCCAGGGGTTTGGGTAGTTACTTCCAGTCAGGTACATAGGAGAGACCTTCTCTACTCTTTCTGCATAACAAGTAGAATGCTCCCAGCCTGTCAGGCAGGACAGGTCTTTGTGCAAGACTGAGCCATTTCTCTTAAGTCAACACACAATCTTTCCAAGAGCTCTCTTTAGAGTACCATTACTTATTTTCCCCAAGCATAGACTCCCTTTAAGAAATTTCTCTTTCCAACTACTGAAGAAAATGGCAAGCACACTTATCTCTGTCAGTCTAGGTTTCTGAACTAGTTGTTGAAGCCCAGGGATGAAAGGGATTTTTATAAATAATGGGATTTTTTTTAAGGTACTAAAATACCTTTGAGAGAAAAAGCAAATTAGAGAAAGCTTTAAAAGGATTGGAAATTAAGATGAGGAAGGTAGAGAAGGGAATCAAAATCACACCTAGCAAAAATCCTAAGGCTGCTGATGGGACAACCTTGCCCAAAATCCTGGTGTTTGACTAATGATGGGCACTGCTCTCCCTGTGCATATGTCTGCCTGTTCCAGATACAGTAAGCAAGAGGAAAGGGAAAATGCAGGGGCAAGATCAGCACCATGCTACGATTAAACAAAGGAGATATTGGTATGAATTGATAGGAATACCTTTTCTTCTAGGTCCTTTATCTGCCGCTTTTGGATGTCTGTTTTATCTTCTAGGTCACGGATTCTCTGAATAAAATGGGGAAAAAAACTAGATGTTAGGATGTAGAGAAAATTGTTCACCAAACAAAACATATCGCTTTCTATGAAGAGATTTGTATTAGGTCCCAGTGAATGGAAATAGCACAGAGAATACTTTTCTTTATCTACAGGGTTTCTGCATGATCCAAAGCTGATCCAGACTAGTGGTGGAATATTATTGTCATGGACAATACTTTTGAACAGAATATTTTCTGACTGTTTTGGTTTAGATCTTACATGACTTCCCAAGCATCACATACTACAGGCTTGGTTTTCAGCCTGTGTGTCTGATGGGAGCTGGAGACCCTTTAACAAGGTAGGATTCTGTGCAAGGCATCAGGGCATTGGGCATTCCCTTAAATAGGGTATTGAGACCTTGATCACTTTCTTCTTTTTACTTTCTAGCTGCCACAGGGTGAGCCACTTTGTTCCAACTTATGCTACTTCCATGATGAACTGCATTCCTTGCTCCCTGCTGTCTCAAAACAAGGAGCCAACTGTGACCATGGACAGAAACTTCAGCAAGCATGAGCATGAATGAGCTTATCTTTAATTGATTTTCTTGGGAATCTTGTTACAGTAACAGGCTACTAACATCTTAGCCCTCTCTTACCCCATGCAGAGGCCTAGCCCAGGTGAGAGATGTGTATTCTACCATACTGCCACTGGGCTTGTTAAGGTTGCTTTTGTCCCTGGGGGATTGTGAACTTATAAGAGATATTGAATGCTACATCCTTGCAAAGACAGCAATATTGTCCCAGAACTAGGGAGCATGAGGTGACTACTCTTCCAATCCTTTGGATTGATTGATATTCTGGTTGCTTATTTGTACAGTAAAAATGGCTAAAGCTGGCTGTGCAATAGCAGATCTCAGCACTCCTTGGAGTTGGACTTTCCTTATACAACATGATTTACCAATTCACAAATGCCAGGAGAGAGTATGCTTTAACCCAACTTCTCAGAAGTAAGCCAATAAGTTGGAGATGAAGCCTTGGTAATGAAATAGCACAGCAACCAGGAATTCACAAAAGCCCATGTAACCACATCCCCCATACTGGAACAACACAGCTTGGATAAGGGCATTACATAGACAACTGTTCAGGGATAAGGTAAGTCTTCACAAGTCCTCTTGGCAAGCTTTAGGCTTTTGGTACCCATGTGGATTGGTATTTTTAGTAATCTTGTTATTTAATGGCCACTGTTTGCAGGAACTAAAAGAGTGAACTGGTCCTTCACTTAGAAGTCTACTAGTATGATAACATATACAGAAGAGTTTGTAAGGCAATTTTGGAACACGAAAAGGGAAGACGGAAGAAAAATATTTCAACTTGGAAATCGAGTCTCCTCTCTAAAAAGTAGGTCTCTCCTGGAGGTGATTTTCACCCTCTGCTGGAGAAGGGCATTTAGTAATGCCTTAGAAATTTTCAAATTAGTTGGTATGCTTATTTTCTAATAATGATCATTTCATATTTTAATATGGTAGGAAATATGTGTACCTATTGCCAGACTTAATTCTGTAAATATTTTTATTGTCATAATTGAGGGTGTATGGCAATGGCATCTGCTGGGTCTTAGTCAGAAGAACTGTTCAATATCCTACACTGCAGGAGACATCCTTCTACCCCAAAGAATTAAGAATGATCTGTTTTAGGAGTGTCAGATTGACAAATACCACCGATAAAGAAAGGAGGTGAGATACATGCTCTAGCTATCATCTTGAGATGTCAATGTCGATGAATGATGGAGATTTCAAGTAAGCCTGAAATAACAGTAGTACTTACATACATGATGTGTACGCTTGTGTGTACTTCAGTGGTGCTGTACATGCGCTAATGCTATACAACAAAACAATAAATGTGCCATAATTCCTTGGCCTTCTGAATATGCACACAATTCCTTGGCCTGTATCTGTATGCAGATATAAATAACTGATTCAGAAAACTATGCACCTATGAGATTACCGAAATGCTTATTCAGCCATCAACTCTGTGCCTGCTGACCATTTTCTGACATGTCTATGACTGTGTCACATGTACTGGAGAATACAGCTAAGGCATCAACTAATTCCTGGTCTCAAAAAACTGATGTCCTTCAACCAGAAGGAATGTAAAACTGAGAATAAGAAAATTAAGTAGCAGAGGTGAGACATGTCAAAGATGTAAAATGTTTTCACTGATCCTTAATTCCTAGGGCTGGAGTCTATACATAAGACCAACTCATCATATGGTAGATATATTATTTTTCATCACATGTTGAAAGTTTTTTTCTCTTTCCTAGACACTTGTCATCCAACCAAGACGAATCTGAGACCCTAGAGTCTCAGATTCTCCCTTCTCCCTCTCTCTACATTCCTTCTCCCTCCCCCCTCTCTCACCCCTCACTCACTATCATGAACATGGTGTATGAGCTCACCATTGTCCCTTATTGTGGCTGATGACAGAATATTATTTCTTCCTGCCTCTTATTTGGTCTATCCTACATCACATCCAGATCTGTCCTTCCTACACCAACTAATATAGCTAGTAAGAACTTGAAATGTGAAATGATCAGGCTGGGTGTAGCATAGTACCTGCCCAGCATGCACAAGTCCCCCAGTTCCATTCTCAGTGATATAGGGGTAAAAGGGTTAGAAAGACCACAGCAATTCAGAGTCTAAAAGATGAAGGAAGGAAAAGTTAGCTGAGTTGTCTTAAAAGTAAGACCTGGATTCTTACAAGGCCCACACCCTTCTTGTTCTCCAGCCTCACCTCTTTTCCTGACTCTGTACCTGCCAGCTATGTTGACATCTTCTGTAGCTCTTGAATTGACATTGGGACCTTAGTGCTTGCTCCTTTTTCTGAGACATTTTTTCTGAGACCTTTCTGTGGCTGGTACCTTGGTTGTCATGTATCCTCAGAGCTGTCATCTCACTACCTGGCCTAACATGCTTAATTCTTCTTTCTGATTCACACAAACATCAATGCACATTATCTAAGCTTCTTCACGGGACTCAGTGGCCCTGTTAGAGATGGTCCATGCCATGGTTCATTCATGCTACGACTTTGTCCTTTTCCAGCTGTATGACAGATCAGATGACTTCAGTAACCGCTACATGCAAAGCAGCTGCTATACAGCTGGCCCTCAATACATGGCTTTTAATGATTATAAAGAAAGGTTTTAAATGTACGTTTCTAAAATAGTGTTCTGTCCAATTTGCTTACCTGACAGAAGCTTCTACAAAAGGTGGGCCTTTAATAGGGACTGGAAAAAACAAGAATGTTCAAATGCCACCTTTGGTGGAAAATTAAGCAATAGAAAGCTTGGAAAAAGGAAACTATGGATAAGTGAGTGACAGTAGGCTTTGCAATTGAAAGAATTCATGAGGTGGCCTCAAGTCACATCTTAAGGGAGGGATAACCAGCTAATGAAAGACCTCCAGAAACCTACACAAGGTCTATTTGGAAAGGGAGACTATGGATGTCCTTAAGCAAGAAATTACTTTGAAAAAAGCTGATAAAAACAAGGACTGACATATGGAGGAGAGTGGTAAGTCCTAGCCTGTGATTTCCATGGCCTCTGGGGACTCGAATGCCTTTGTTACAGCCATTTAACAGGTTTCAGCATATTTTTCTTTATGGTAATTGCCATTGTCTACATCTACACAGTAAGGCAGCATTCATGGTGAATTAGGTAGATATCTAGCAAATGGAACCTACCACTAGGAAATACATTGAAATGTTTAATACATGCATAAATGACAGAGTTAGGTTAGCTCAGGGGCACTGTGAAGCCACTGTCAATGAAAAATCCTCCAAATGCCTATAATGTTGTCAGAAAAAGTTACTAGCTGAAAAGCACTTGGGGGCCAATGTCTGTTGGATGGGGTGCTCTCTGAGTCCATGGAGAGAGAGAGAGAGAGAGAGAGAGAGAGAGAGAGAGAGAGAGAGAGAGAGGGGGAGAGGGAGAAGAGGGGGAGGGAGGGGGGGAGGGAGGGAGGGAGGGAGGGAGGGAGAGAGGAGAGAGGAGAGAGGAGAGAGGACTGAGAAGGCATAAGTGTTAGAGCCTGAGTGATTTTTGATAAGATCATTCTACAATAAGATCATTCTACTGACCCAAGCAGATGGAGCGAGATTAGCTAAGGACAAGAATTTACATTGTTTTCATTTTGGGACATCCAAGCAAAAATGTCTAATGGTCTCTAAAATTTATACATCACAATTATATCATAGCTGTCTTTGATACAGCCCAGTCAATGATTAAAAGGGAAGAGGAGAATAAGAAATAATTGGAAAAGATACATTTAATGAACACTTGTTAGAAAGAGGAAAATGTCAGGGAACACTCTCAGCTCAGCCTAAGTATCTTAAAAAAGGAATTCTTTCTAGAGAGAGGTGCCATAGCTAAAGGGTTTGACTCAAACTGGAATGCTAGAGTTTTTAATCACAAGCAAATTTAGACAACTATTAGTCCACGTTAAAACTAACACATTTATATTTACAGGACAAAACTCTCAACTTGTTAAAATCAAATAGATTTGCAATGTAAGAGATTTATGCAGAAGATATTTTTATCCCCTAATAGATGTGCAAAACAAAAACAAAAAAAAAACCTCATGGAATACCTATTGTCAAAAGCTTGGACAACTTTCCACTGGTCAAACTGCAAGTCTTTGTGGTTCTGGAGGCCCTCTGAGAGAGTATGCAGATGCACATCATTGTTAGGACAAGTGACTTGAGTACTCTACTGGCGTGAAAACCACAAAGCTCCTGGCTCTCTATGCACTGTCCAGATATCTATGCTTTGCTTTTACTAGTATTATAAAAGAGCCATGATTCCTGTTCTACTCCTTGAACTGCAAAGCATGCTTCGTACCACCTGTATATTCCATCAGCTTGTCCCAGCTTTGAGTACCAAATAGTTCGACCTGGCAATATAGACTCAGTAATTCTTTTGAATTTGCTCTATGGACAGGACCCTACTGCTGATCACTGGTCAAGTTCTAACACAAAGGATGAATTACAAAATTTTTTTGGCAGCAAGTTGCTAGTAGGTGCCTATTTTTTTGCTTGCCAGTCTAGATGGATCACACAACTCACAAATGTCTTAAGCTCCGTATGACAGGACTATGCTTTGGTTAGTACCTATGTCTTAGGGGTTGTCATACCTAGACTATAATTTTGCTTTGTCATCTACTATTTTGAATAAATTATTTGAATACTTTGTCTCCATAACTGGAATAATATGAATACTTATGTCTTAGAGCTCCCATGAAGGTGAGATGAATTGATGTACAGCCTTTACATTCTTAACAGTCTATTTTTATATGTATAGGTGCTTTGCCAGAATGCATGTCTATATGCCATGTGCATGCCTGGTGCCCACAGAAGTCAGAGAGGGCATCAGATCTCTTGGAATCGGAGTTATAGACAGTTGTGTGCCATCACACAAGTGCTGGAAATAAGACCTGACTCTTTTGGAGAAACAGCCAACGTGATTAACCACTGAGCATCTCTCCAGCCACAACTACAGCCTTCACATCCTGACTGAACAACAACCTCCAGACTTTGTTGTTATTGCTGTTTGTTCTGAAAATGAAGAGACAGGGTCTGCTCCCTTTTGCCCTTTACAAATGATTGCCATGAGCTCAGTTATTGGCAGGGACAAGTGACGCAGAACCGGAGCCCTTTTTCCTTACACAGGTGAGTAAACAGGCTCCAATATATTTGGAGCCCGTGACAAAGTTATTCTAGAAATGATAGCCCCATGCAGCACCTCTGAAATGCCATTTTCCTCAAGACCAATTTTATTTACCAAGCTGCTGTCCTATATTGAGTGATGGGAAACAGTTATTAGTTTAATTCGTCCACAGTTCCATTCTTATATCGAGTATGTGTTGCCCTGTCCCACATGCTCAGGACTGACCTGCGCAGGATGCAGGGCTTGGTCCTCACCTGGTGGGCTTGCTGTAGGAGCTCCATCCTCTCCTGGAGGATCTGGCAGTCGTACTCCCGGCTCTTCCTCAGCATTTGCCGCCTTAACTTTTCTACAGCCGTCCTCAGCTCTTCTTGCTGCTTGTCACTTAACAGTTCACCGAACTTGATCACAGTTTCTTGCTGCAGAGCATTGTACAAAGTAGCTTCTAGTTCCTGGATTCTCTGGCAAATAGAATCAGAAAAGTCTAACTTTGGGACTGAGCCTTTAGGTGTGGTGTGGGGAGAGAGTGTGTGGATGGGTGCGATGGGGATTTGGTGCTTTGGTCTCAGGGGATCTCAGTTTCCGAGTGTCTTCTGCTTGACTCGTTCTTTATGAGATAGCACAAATGCCATTCACACAATACACAGGTTGCTCTGTAAGTAAAGTCATTTTCTTTCTTGGGATCCTGTTCACGTTTATCTTTAGCAGAGCCTCTGTTATAGAGACTACACTCCCATATCTCCTTTGCTTTTCAAATGTAGATGGGGATGGGTTTATTCTCCTTCCTCCTTGACAACCCTGCTGCTGGTTAAAAGCATATGTCATAGTGGCCAATGTAGTATTAATAAGTGTAAGTAGGAAAGTAGTACTTGAAATTGGAGATACATTTCAATCAAAACTATCTCATTTTCAATATGTCAATATTTCATTTTCTGTATTTTCAAGTACAATTCTCTGTACTTGAAAATGCCTTATGATTTCCATGCCTTTTCCTTGAAAAAAAATGGGAAATACAATTCAAAAGTAGCCTACAATTTTGGAGTTGTCCTGGTGTGTGTGTGTGTGTGTGTGTGTGTGTGTGTGTGTAGGCCAGAGCTTGGCATCAGTTTCTTCTTTAGTAACTTTCACCATTGTCTTTGGTGTTTCTTAATGACACTGTAGCTCACTAAATTGGCTAACGTGTCTGGCCAGCCAGTCACTCGGTTACTCCTATGTTGGCTTCCCTAGCAATGGGATTGTAGTGCACATCACCACATCTAGCTTTTACTTCAAAGCTGGGAATCAGGGCTTCATGCTTAAATGACAAGCACCTGAGCATCTGAACCATCTTCCCAGCACCTGGTCCCCTTCTTTTCGATAGTTATACTGAGGTTTATGGTTGTTCAAGTCTTTCTCAGTCCTCTGTTTGATTGATAAATTATCTACTATATATAATTTTTCTCTCTCCTTCCCTCACCCTCCCTCTGCCCTTATCTATGTAAGTGTGAGAGTGTATGTATGTGTGAGTGAGTGTGAGAGTATATGTGTGTGTAAGTGTGTTTGTGAATGTGAGAGAGTGTGTGTGTGTGTGTGTGTGTGTGTGGATATGTTATTCATCTCAAATACAGTTGCCTAAATCAATCGTTGTATTCCCCATAATTTCATCGGAAGTGAGTTGCAAATACCTGATGGGATGCTTGTCTACTGTTCCTGGACCAAATATATTCCATTTTTTTTTTGAAAATTAAATACAGCTTTCTGAATGAGGTCTCAGTAGTTTCTTTCTGGAGCCCAACTTAATTTTGCTTTTTATAGGCAGGAGAGACAAGGGTTTTTAAAAGGGTAAGGAGTGGGTAAAAGAAATTTGTGTTTTATTTTTCAGCCTGTGGCCAACTCCCATTCTCTTGTTTCCCCATTGAACAATACAAGAATCTCTTACACATCTGGAGAGTACAAACTAAACCATCTTTGATCCAAACAGGGAATCAGCGGTTCACTCTTTTCCCCAGAGTTCTAAGAGCATTATGAAAACCTCTGCTAGCAATTCTGGAACTATTCCGCTAGTCTGTCCTTTGTCTTCTGGTTCATTCTTGTGACCCAGTGAGGGTGTGGGGCATAAGTAAAGAAGTAGAGCTGTAGTCCAATGTCAGGAGTGGTGCAGTATGCATTTTGTAGAAAGGGGAGAAACAAGTTGTGAGCTTCTATAAGTACAATTATCTACAGAGTAAGATGCTCAGCCCATGCAGCACCATGGCCTCACTTGCTGTGCCTACAATTGTGGGTCCAAATCAGGCCACGGGTCCTGAAGTAAGAGCTACATTACAGCTTACTCTTCTACCAACTCGGGCAAAGGTTTTCTTCTATAACCCTGCTTTCCTCATATGCAAAAAGAATAATAAGATTACCTGTGACTTCGGTGGTTATTTTAAGAAGTAAATGAGTTAAAATATGTACAATATGCATTGAATTCATTATTATTCTATTACTACATTCGAGTCCCAAATGATAATACTTGATTTAATAAAGTCCCTGTTGGATCTACACTGGCATTCAGTATGTCCTACATTTAAATATTAATTACCTAATGGTATACATTTAATTTGAGAATGAATTAGAATTATGTATAAGACATAAGAATATTATACTAGAAACAACCTTGGGATTTTTGTTCCAAAATTGAAGTAACAATTAATAACTGCTGTGTGTATTCATGTTGTGTGTATTCAACTACATTGAATACCAAATTAGACAGGTCACCTCAGCTCTATTATTGTAGAGAGTGATGAACAAGGGGCATGTTAGTTCCTTATGGTACTTACCATATATGCCTGGTCGAGAGCCTGTTTTCTGTAGTCTAGTTCTTCCTCCAGGTAGCCTTTGATTTTGCAGAATTGTTCCTATGATAAAGGGTCACATTGAAAAACTGAGACAGGAAGCTCAGTTAACTACAAAGTGATACATGAAAGTTCCACAGATGAATGTGTTCTTGATTACATGAGAAAAATTACTAGGTTCGTAGAACTGTAGTTTTCTTCTGCTAAGAAATTAGTTCAGCCATCAGTCTCAGACAGGGAATGTGAAAATCAATAGCAAGAATGATAAAAGGCATAACCATGTGGAAAGCTCTTAGTGACTTTTAAGTCAGTCTGAAAATGGGTAATTAAGGATGGATTTTGACATGGTGACTGTTAAATAATAATTCTGTGTAAGTACACTTGGCTTTTCATTTCTCCTGGTTTTACACCTCAGCCATCCTTGGAATGAACATAATTGAAAGGAACATCTGTTGACTATAAAATTTGCTTTCACCATCCCTTATAAACATGGAGTATAATAGGTATTTATAAATAATTTACATTATAAATGAGAGTAGTACGTAATAATAATCTAGGGATGGTTTAAAAATACATAAGAGAGTGTGTGTAGATTATATACAAAGTTGTGGCATTTTATAAAAAGAAATTGAGCATCTGTAGACATCGGTGATTCCAGGGGGTCCTGGGACCAGTTCTCTGAGGACACAAAGGACAGCTGTGTATTGATATAGAATATTTTTCTAAAAATTTTAGGAGATTTAACAAGGTGACATTATATGATAAAGTTAACTATTTCAAATTAATTGATACAAAGATGAAGGACATTTTAAAGAGCCAGGGTGACTCCGCCCACTGCCATTTGATGAGTATTTATTGGCCCTGTGGCAAAGCTAGTGTGAGTTAGGAGACAAATCTGAAGTTTCCTCACATGTCATCAATTCTTGTACATCTTTCACTGCACGGCCATCTTGTCATCACTAGTTAAAGCTTTCTTTTGGGGTGCAACATATCTCAACGTGCACATCAATCAGTCATTTCTTCAGGAGCTTGAGTAAACAGTAAGGAACTCTTTCTAGGTGACTGGATGTTTGATAGCTCAGCTATGCTCACTTCTGAGAGTATGTGGTAATGCTGCTATGAGCTTTCCTGACCATCACTGGGTACCAGTGCTGTAAGAGCTGCATAAAGGCTGACTATCGCATTAGTAGTTTGTATTGAAGGAGATTCCGATGGCCATTGTCAACCCAGACAAATCTTTTCATGTTTCACTATAGATCTTAATTTCTTGATAAAATATAAATTCTGTACATGATATTATGATATCTAAAACTGTTACATTCTATAACATGCAATAGAATTTTGTTTTAGAATTTCATCACTTGATATAAACCTACTATATTTGTTTCAGCAAAGATCATTTAAATGATGTCTCTCTTTTTAAGGTTTTTCGAGACAAGGTTTCTCTGTGTAGCCCTGGCTGTCCTGGAACTCACTCTGTAGATCAGGCTGGCCTCGAACTCAGAAATCTGCCTGTCGCTGCCTCCCAAGTGCTGGGATTAAAGGCGTGCACCACCACTGCCTGGCCCATGATGTCTTGTTATAAGATTATACATCATGCTGCAAGTTAACAACCTATTAATTTCCACATTTGGTGATAGGCTATTTTAAATTGTGTTAAAATGCACATGAAAAAAATTAACATTTTAACCATTAAAGTACATATTTATAGTGTGAAATCCATCCATATTTTTATGAAATTAGTGTCCAAAAGATTTTAGTTTTGCAAAAGAGAAACTTCTCTCTTTTAACAACTCCATGTTTTTTCTTCCTCTCAACCCTTAACAACCATACTGTGCCTTCATTTCCTATAAGTTTTATGACTCTCTCCATCATATCCATGAAATAATGGTGCTTGCCAGTCTGTGGCAGCTCTTTTTACCTAATGTCACCACTGTTCATCTACACTGTGTCTTTCACCAGACATTATGAATGCTTGTTTGCCAATAATGACTACATTAGAGTGAGAGGTGTTAGGGAAGAAGGTAAGGAGGGAGCTCCAGACAAAAGGAATGCTGAGTACAACAGCTATCTTGGACTAAACTAACACATATGTATTCCAAACATTGTTCATCCTTTCAAAGGAGGTACATTAGCATTAGCTACATTCACCTTTTACCTACTGTGAATAATACCACAATGTAAGTGGGTGCACTGTGACCCACCACACTCCAACTTAAGCTTTTTTTTTTGTAATGCTGGGTCATATAATTCTATTGAATTTTAAAACAACCTCCATGCCATTTCCCATATCTGTACTATTTCATATGACAGCAAGGCCCTGGGTTCTTGTTTCTCCACATCTTTACTAACAACTGTTGGTTTCTACCTTTTTGACAGTAGCTATCCTAATGGATGCAAAATAGGTTTGTGTATTCTTAAAAGCAGAGTTATACTCAACAAGTCTGTAATTTTTACTTGGTGATTATTTATAGCCGAAAAAAAATATTCAGCTTGAGGGAAAATATCTAATTTAATTTCTCTTAACATTAGTTTTTATAAATATTACCAGTGTACAGTATGTTTTTGGGGATACTACAGCTGGAGGTTGTCATCTACTTATGAGAAATATGTCCAACAGTCTGTACACAAATCAATAGGGCAGTTACAAACTCCCATGAGTTCCAGATAAAACATAGAAGCAATGTTCATTTCCCATTATTGTACAATGTTTTCTCGTTAGGCTTACCATATCACTTTCCAGTTCCATCATTTTCTGGTGCAGGGCAGCCTCTGCTCCTTCAATTTGTTGGATCCACTAAAGGGTTAAGAAGACAGAAATGTTTGTTGTGATTGTTCAATGTGGTATCAATTCTGTGGGCTGTTCCCTGGAGTGCTCGGTTTTATCCTTTGTGTGTCTGGATGCTGATGGAAACCTTTGGTAAAAACTTAATGCATTTTTATCTTTTGGAGTTTAGACAAAATGCTACCATCTTCCATGCCTCATTAATTCAGCAAATGTTCTCTGATATCTACTACATGTCAGCTTCTGAGGCTTTGGTGATGAATACGATTAGCAAAGCTTTGGTACTCATGGGGATATTTCTTGGGAACTGAAGTATAACAGAAAAGTAAAGGATGTTTGGGGGAAATTGGAAGGAAATTCCAAGGACCACAATGTTAAACTGAAGGTTAAAGGGTCCTAGGGAGTGTTCCTAGTTAGAGTAAAATTTGCATCTATGAAAATGATTCCTGTAATGTGGTAAGTGAAGGCCTTTTAAACAAATCACACAAAGAGAATGTATTTCATACTACTCAGAATGTACGCTTTTGATGTGTGTTAATAAGCACATGGTCTTTGTGTCCTATTGTATGCGAGTACCCTACACATGGCTTAATTGAGCCAATGGTCTGAATGGCTGTCCAGAAAGGTAAGTGCCAGGTTAGACCGAATGGATCTGTGATTGAGCATAGCTATGTGAGAGTACCAGAGGGAGCCTCCTAGGCTCCTGTTCAAATTTAGCTTTTCTGTGCTAGGTGGCTTTGAAAGGTAGCCCAATGTCCCTTGAATTATAAATTTTTGTATATCAAATTATACTAATAATGATGCAATTTTTTAAAAAATGGAAGGTGACAGTATATTGTATGAAGTAAAATGTCAGATTTAATTTCTCTTCAGTATGGGCACATGGGATGGCACTTCAAGCTCAATTCTTTAATCTAGAGCCTTTGGAGAGATGCCATGACCAGCCATCCTTAGCCACTGAGATTATGAAGAAAGACAAAAGATATAGTATGACAGCAGACCTGTGAATCTCTCATCTCCCTGACTATACACCTGGCTATATACTTCTTTAAGGACATTTGAGTCAACAGCTGTAGTTTTGTACACAGTATTGCTTTTCCTGACCCCTCTATTTGATGCCTCTTTATCTTTGAGAAATAGCCTCTGTTTCAAATCATGCATTCTGTTTCAGACGCTGCAAACCTCAATGATGCCATTGTGAGCTGCAGGTCTACATGTTGGCTCCTGCTCCTATTTGTGTGGCTAAGGCAGGTTACCATTTGTAAATGGAAACTCAGGCACCTGTAAACTGGATGCGAGAAACAATGATGGTATATGCAGTGTGTGGTGCAGATCTGTACCCACTATGCTTTCTCACTTAAAGCCACTGCTTTCTGTATAAAGACACATAGGACTGTCTTGTTGGAATTTTGTCTAGGCATACACTTTGATCCCAACTGTTGTCTAAATTTATAGTCTTAAGAATAGAATCAAATGAGAGTCCCTGTGGTGTAGGTGACTTTAATTTGACTTGCAAAGGTCAGCACAAAAATTGATTACACAATCATGAGCTCCTAGGGCAAGTGTGGCTTTATTCATCCAGCCCCTTGCTTTCTACCACAGTGTTAACATAGAGCTATTACCCGGTTACTTGCTTAGCTGGATATGGTCATGCAAGAAAGACATGAGAAAAGGCATGAACTAGATCACTACAGTTCTAGTATTCCAGCTCCTGGGTGCTCTGCACAGCTTGTTTAAGGATTTCTTGAACTAGACAAGCACTTGGTGAATGGCGGAGATGGACTCTGGGTTCTAACTAATTCAATTATCATCTTGGGCAGAGCAACCACCTTTTCTGTGTTTCTGAATCCTTGATGAAAATATGATAATAATACCTAATAATAATAATTCAGTAGTTAGAAGAGTCCAGTTCAAAAGAAGCACTCTGCAGGTGTTCACTATGTTTTAGCAGACTTTGCCACACTCACTTCGGAACCAGGGAGATATTCATGGATCTAATGAGGCACATAAGACTAGTTCTCCTGCTTTTACATCCATAGGTCACTCCTTTCATGGAATCAGCCCAACCTTTCTTTGCAGTCTCAAAGCAGGGCAATTCTACATCACATTAAAGAACTGTAACCCTCGTGCCTTCAACTGAGTAAAATGCTCTGACTGTTATTGTTAAATAAACACCAGAATGGATGATACAAACGGTGCTGTTGCTTAGGGCGTGGATGTGTTCATTCACTTACTTTTTCAGTAAACATTTACTCATCATCTCTTCTCTAGCAGCTTGGGTTGAAATAGGGGAAATAAAGGGAGGAGGAACAAAGATCATATCACCCATCCTGGGTGAATGAGGTGTAGTGGTTTGGATGAGAATGAGCCTTACAGGCTCATATGTCTGAATGTGTGGTCCCCAGATATTGGAACTATTTGGGAAGGATTAGAAGGTGTAGCCTTGTTGGAGAAAGTGTGGCTTTGTTGAAGGTCACACTCCTCACAATGATGGTCATGGACTAACCATCCAATCAAAACAGTAAACAAGCTCCCAATTAAATGTTTTCTTTTGTTAGTTGTTTTGGTCATGATGTTTCATCACAGTAATAAAACAGTAACTAAGATAGGTAGGTCAGTTGGAAAACCAAAGTTTGACAATTTAAATACAATAGTCAAAACCCAGGGAGCAGAAACATGGTCACTGTAGATATGTCAATAGTCTATCTGGCCCTCATGGACTAGGAAAGCTTTCCTACATAAGAAGAAGGGCAGTAGCTATGATAATCATGCAGAAGTGGAAAGGAAAAATATGAGCATTTAGGTAAAGACTTCAGGGAAAAGGACTAATTGAAGAGTTAGGAAGAGCAGATCATGCATGCATGCACACACACAAACACACAGGAATGGATACATGCACACACACATGCATGCACACTCACAGGAACTCACACTCATGTGCACACACATGAAGAAGGTAGGGAGAGAGAGACAGAGAGAAACAGAGTGGAGAATAAAGAAAGAAAAGAGAAGAGAGACAGGGAGGGAGACAAAAAAGGAGGAAGATGGGGAATGATAGAGAGAAGAAAGAGAGAGGGAGAATGAAGGAGAATGATAGAGATAGGAAAAAAGGAGAGAATATATAGAGAGTTTGGAGGGAAGGGATGCTTAAGGAATCAGTAGGTAAGGCTTTAATATGAAGGACTATTGGTAAATTTTGAATTCTGGACCTTCTGTAGGGAAAATATGATGCTATTAAACTGCTAGGGAAAGGAAAGAGAACATAATCAGGTTTTTAATTAAATTCTGAGGGAAATGGGTCCTTAAACAGTGACTTCTCACTTTTCTTTCATTCCAAAGGCAAACACTTCCACATGTATTTCAGACAGAAAAGTAAGGCCTTTCTAAACCTGAAAACAAACAAAACAACCATTTTCACATTTTGCAGAACTGACATTAGTTTTTTTTATCGTTTGTTTGATACTAAGTCAATATTAAAATTTTCCAAGTGATCAGCAAAATGCCTTTAGTTAGAACACATAAATGTGGCTTGCTTAAATTGACATCAATAAATGGATAATTTCAATATTTTGTATTTTAATTCCATAGAACTATCTACCCCTCTGCTTTGTCTTTACGTTATTGTTTTGAGAAATAGAACAATGCTATTTGACCTCTAGAATTTGATTTCAGATTCAAAAGAACTGAGTATTGCTCAGGGTTTATGTTACTTTTAACATGATTGCTATGCCTTTTAGAATTAAGACAGCATCTTGAATGGATATATGAAAAAAAAACTTTCATCTTATTCAAGTATGTGCTTGTGACTCTCTGCTATGTGCAGATTCTTTTTTTTAATTAAATTTTCTTGAGAAAGATTCTTGCTATGTAGACCAGGCTGGTTTTGAACTTGCCTCTCTGCTTCCCAAGTTCTATGAATACAGATTTGTATCATCACACCTGGCTCTGGGTTCATTCTTGAGACATTTGGGAACAACCAGGAATCTGGCTTCCCTGTGTTGGTTCTCTCCACCTGTCATTTACCAGGTGTAGACACAAGGGGTCAGCAGTACACCAATGTCATTGGGCTTTCTGAATGAGGCTGCCATCACCCAGGCCCAAGCCACAGATTCTATGGAGTATGCACAAATTAAAGGAACAGCTTGTGACTGGAGCAACTAGTTTCACCAGCTCTCAGCAAAGCTTCTTGCTGGCTTCCCATCTTTCTAGGATTGCTTGAATAATGTAGCTGAGAAGGTTTTCCATGTTGATGAATGTCATATTTTACAGATGATTTTAAAATAAAAAAAATCTATCCATCACAAAGTGATAGACTTCTGTCTATTGTCATGTTCCTGGGGTTGAATCACATTTATTAGATATTCAATAACGCAAGGCTGGGTGCACAGGGGTAGGTGCTGCATTGCCCTGCCCTCAGACACCAAGCTCAACAACACTGGATGACTAGAAATGCACACTTCACTCATTACCTTCTCTGCCAGGGACAGCACAGTGCTGGCCTGAATTATGGCCACTTGTTCTTCATTCCTTAGGTTCTGTGAATAACAAGAGAAAGAGGATAAAGTGAAAATGCTCATGACATTTACACCATGGAAAACATGTGTGCCATGAACAGAGCATGCATGCAAATCACCTCTGCACATCCCCATAAAAGTTCATGCAAAGTCTAGTGTTTTGACTGAGTGTACAACACACTTCATTAGAAGTCACACTAAGAAAACCCAGAATAAAGATCAAGCTTACTCCCCATATCAGTTCTGACAAGGTTTCACTGGTTACAATTTTCAAGGGGAAAATGGCGCACATGCCTCAATGTCCTAGGTGAGCCATTCACCTTATGACACTGTGAGTGGTGCTGCCTCTGAATTAACAGGCCTTGGCCCTACTTTGAGAGAGCTGTTAAGAAAAGGGATTATAGCCTCCTGCTTCATTTTATGAGGCTGCCAACAACTCTAGTGTTTAGCAGTCTTTCCGACAGCCTGACTGATTAATTTTACACTGAATGCCTGTGAGCACCAGTCAGGCGGTAATTAGCTGTAATCACTGCAGATGTAGTTTGCATTCCAACCTGAACCTTTTCAATGAAAAGCCCTTTACCACATCTTCTTTCTCAGTTACCTTCCAGTCATTGCTATTGTCTGCTTTGGGCTTGTGGTATTCTCTCTGTGGAGGTATATGCTTAGCTAGCTACACTGTCTTTCTTGCTATCATTTTATACTTGACGCACTGGTAAAGATTTCTTAACTCTGTTCAGGCCAATTCATACTCCCATCATATTTAATTGATGCACGACTTACCCCGTTGTCACCTAGGATATCAAGCTGCTTTATGAGATCAGGGATGTTGACATCCTGCAAAATCAAAGAGATGCATTCAAGACAGAGACAGAGATGGCAGAAAGAAGAACACCGAAAGCAGGTACACTGGGCAGCTCAGTAGAAGCAGGAAGAGCCATGCAGAAGGTTAAGGGACCAACTAGAAACAACTGGGGCAACCCAGCTCTATATCAGAAGGAAGTCCTCATGCCTTTCATGAGGACTGCATGGCAGTCTATTTTCTGGGGAACAGAACCACATCATCTCAACCTTAATATTTAAAATGTGTTCCACTAAGTGCTGAAGGAAGAGCCACATTTGATCTAGTAAACTCCATGTTCTGAAGCCTAAGACCCTCCCCAAAGGGAAAAAGTCTTCCCATAATTAAATCCATCAAAAGCAGCAATTACTGGAGGACTTCAAAAGTCTCTTCTCACTCCAAAACTCCACAGTACCTCGGAAGCTTCAATAAAGGGACTCATGACAAGTTCTACCAGGCCAACTTGAATTATGTTTCTTGAAGCACACAGTTTATTTATATTTCCCCCAGGTAATTAATATCATTTACTTTAATGAATATTTTGATCCTACACCATTCTTTATGTTCCTATGATCTAAATGACCGATCTCTGTTCTTTGCTATTACCTTTTATAAATCTGTTAAACATTCATTTTATGCCCTATTGATTTTCTGATAGATATATGGCTATTTTCGTTCTGCTATCTAGGGATTGACATACAGAGCCGCCATGAGCAGCCTTTCCTTTCGAAGTCCCCTGCTTTCCTGATGGTCTGCACACACAAAAGATCTGATGTCTGCCTACCTTGACACCTTCTTTCATGCAGTAGATCTGCAGCGCACTCACACCATCTGAGAAGGGGTGAATTTGTAGATTAAATGGAGGGGATCTCCTCTCTCTCTCCTTGGAATATATAAGAAGGAAAAAAAAAAGAAGCAGCAACTGATTAAACGCTAAGCCAGTTATCTCTTTATAATATTTTGGCCATTTATCAACGTGTCATTTGAAAAAAAAAAGAAAAACAACCCTCAAGATGTACACGACTAAATTGAATGGAAGAGAATTAAGCAGTCAACTAAAAATATGGGGAAAAAATTTATAGACTGTGCCATCCATCCTTGAAGATTTTTGTTCTGGGAAATGTGGAAAGTAGAGATGCAGTTTAAACAGTATGAATATTTGTACCCTTCAGATATCACAGTGTGAGCTTATTATGAAGGTTTGCAGTGTCAAATAACCTCTGCATATGTGATCTTCTCATTCTTTATACAGAAGATATACAGGCTGCAGGGGCAGTCACTATTCTCCACTGGAGCATCCTGATGGCTAACTTTAACATCTGGAATAATCTCAAGAAGAATACCAGTGGCAAAATTATAGAAAATTCAAACAGGAATTTGTCATCATCCAGAACTTCAGCCAGATTTTGTAGATGAAGATGTGGTATATGTTTTATATAAAAACAACAAATACCACAAAACAATCACCTCAAGTTTGGTTCAAAAAATGTAAGATATTTCCTAAAATCTGTCACCCAGTTGTTGGGAAAATACAGTCCCTGTGAAGACAGTCCCAAGCTTCTTTAAAAGCTTGGGACTCATCATTACCAGACAGAATCATGGCATAGGTAATGTTTCTAAGATATTTAGCTTGATGGTCAAAGTTATATTATCGTGACTACTTCTGGGGTCTAAATAAGAGTGTGACTTTGAAATGCTTAATTCATGGTCTGTGCAAGTCATGACCATGCCATCACTAACACCAGCAGTTCCTTACTTCCAGTTCTAGGTTGCGAAACTCCAGCAGCTCATTCTGGTCTCTGGCATCCTGAAGTTCCTGCTGTAGCCGGTGATTCTCTGCTTCCTGCTTCTCTATCTGATAAAGTAAACCCTGGAGTTAGGTGAGCACAGCAGGGAACACTTGGCGGAGCAACCATGGATATGGTTGCAAATCATCCACTCAGTGAGCAAGACTTGCTGTAGACCATGCCAATAATCCCAAAGGAGATATGGTTAAGGCAGGGTTGGCTCTCTTTATAGCCATTTTCTAGCGGATTTGGGGAAGCACAGAGACAAATGCCAAGAGGAAAACCTTTCTCTGACATGAAGGCTAAAGCTCCTCTAGACAGCGAATTTGAGACACTTACATGTCTCATGGGGGTCAGATACAGTGTGCTCATAATAGATTTAAGGGTGTTTATGAGGAAGATGGACAGTCCTCTCTAAAAATACCAGTTGATGCAGGAATAATTTTACTGTTAATAGTTATATGTATTTCTGGCTCCAACCTAGTCAATTCCTGTCCATCATACAATGTTTTGTATGGTGATAATATCTGATGGATTTTTTTAAGTAATTCTAAAATACGTAACTGTTTCAAATAGCTCTTACCTATAAAACTGAGAATTGCTGAAGAGAGTGACATGAGGCTCCATAAGATGGATTTCCAACCCTTAGAAAAACTGTTCGCTACCTGATCATTCATTACTCAGTATCACTAGTATCATCTCTGCACAGCCATGTGTGAACATGCAGACATGCACTCATACATGTGCACACACACACACACACACGCACGCACACGCACACACACACACACACGCACATATGAACAAACAGTCCTGATCCTCCCTGTGATTCCAGGAGCTTTCTCTGTCCTTATCTACCTGGAAAACACTCCTCTATTTTCTTTACTACAGAGAAAAATCATTCTCTTCCCTGAATGCTAAGCTCTAAGCACCACATGAACCTCTGCTAACCCAAATACTCAGACATGGCACCTCTTTCTTTATTGTCCTGTAGAACTGTGTGCTGCTTCTTATTGCTACGGATTGGTTGGTTTTCTAACACAGGAGCTTTCTATGTGAATCAGGCTGGCTTCATATTCCTGGCCTCCAGTGATCCTTCTGCCTTAATGTTCCAAGCAACTAGGATTATAGGTACACACTGCTACACTATGGTCCTGTATGACTTTCTCAAGAGCATCCTATACAACCTGAGGATGCATGGGGCATGAGATTAAGTCAGATGTGCATCAATGTGCCTTACCCTTAGGAAGGGCTCCTGTCTGAGACTTCTGTAGATCTTAAGGGATCTGATAATTTTTATGTACTCCTTTCTTTGTCATTAACTATGGGAGGATCATTATGTACAGTGACAGTTTAAAAACTTAAATATAAAAATGCAAAAACAATGGCTTTCACGGTATAGTAAATCTTATTTTCCAAAACATAAAATAAATAGGATTTTTTTTTTGCATGTGTCTGAGAGAGAGAGACTCCTGTTTTTGATTTAGAAGACACAGCTAAAAATCCTTCTTTGTACCAAAGAAATCAAGGAACTAAAGGAAATCAGGAAGAATACTGAGAATCAATTGCATGATAAAGGACTATAACAATGCATCATTGGACATCTCTGAGATTAGTAGGACAATAGCAGCAGAGCAATGGTGAGGAGCCATGTGACATTCCTTAATATGAAAAATAAGGGTGTTATCCACCATACACCCTGTCAGTCTTTCTGTCTCTGACTTGCACTCCCACTCTCTACACATATGTTTGTGTGTGTGTGTGTGTGTGTGTGTGTGTGTGTGTGTATGTGCTTGCATGGCCACAAAGATGTGAGTACCCAAGGAGTTCATAAGCAGGTGATATAGCCCCTGGAGTTGGAGTTATGAGTACTGTTAGCTCTGTTACTGCTGTAGGTGCTATAATTGAACTCAGGTCCTCTGGAAAAACAGCAAGTGCTTTTAAATGCTCAGCCATCTCTCCAGTCCTCATCATAAACATCTGTAGTCAAATGAATTTTTAATTGTCTCAGATTACAAAGGTATTGTCGTTCTTAGACTCTTGGATCAATATATTGGATTTGTAATAGATATTGGGGGAGATCAATGGACCTGGTGGCTACTGATGAAACAGTCATTCACAAATTTCAGTTCATTAATGGGACTGACTTTTTTCTTTTCTCCCTTCTTTCTATCTATCTTTTTCTTTTTTTTCTTTTTCTTTTTTCTTTTTTTGTAACAGAGACAGAACTCAGAGCTTTAGCTGCTGTAGGCAAGTGCTCTACCACTGAATTTTCTTTTTCAGTTTTCTTCTCTAATAGTCTCACTAAGTTACCTAAGCTAACCTTGACCTCACTGTGCAGCCTTAGTAGACCTTTCAGTTTTGATCTTCCTGCCCCAGCCTCTTGAGTAGCCAGGCACTTGTACTAACAGACCATCCTAACAAGATTGTTATAGAGCCTTAAGGTCTGAACTTGGGGCACTTGCCACCTCCCTACATCAGTCTTGACTCATCTGGAGAAAGGCAGGCTGCACTAGCCTTTCCAGGCTGCATGAACACATCTTCATGCTTCTCACTCTGACCTGGGCAGAGTGGCCAATTTTTGCTGGAAAAGATTGGTGGAAAGAAGGCTTAAATAACTTCTCGAGTATTTTGAATTAGTCCACAGAATACTTTCCTATATTCAGGAACCTTTAATGTCTGTTTGTGTCAAGTATAAGATTTGTTTGTAATCTTTCATTACACTACAGAATGAATGTCTCGGAGGAGAAGTTACTTTTAACCTTGAGATGTTCTATGGTGTTAAATTGCCTCAGCTCTAAAGGCTGTGGTTAATTATATCTACTGGGTAGAAACATATCTTAGTGTGCTGACCAGTTTCCTGGACATGATGGTTTTTGTTTTGGATGCTTCTAAAAAAAAAAAATCAATCCCTTCCTTTAAGGAGTAAAAGAAAAGAAATAACCAAGCTTAGCAAATAAGTCTAAAAGTGAGAATATAATCTGTGTAAGGTGGAGCACAGATATATTCTGCCACTTTCTTACACAAACAGCATGTGCAGTGAGGATTTGGGGATGGGGGTGGGGCAGGTGAACAACCACACAGGAGATGCTCATGTGCGTATGTGAGCACACACACATATAGACACACAGCATATATACAGTACATATATGTGGATAACAGATTGGTGGGGCACAGGAATCACGTCCTCATGAGTCTGTAGCCATGCACGAGGGCCACTGAACTGATGGTGATGGAGGTAATGGGATGCGGTTGAGCACGCAGCAGAGGACAGAGCAGCAGTGGGAGAGCCTCCCCTTCCCTGGCCCCTGTGCCACTCCTGAGAGCACCCCCTGCTGCTCCTGGATCATCATTTTCTCCTCTGCCCCACTAGGGTGGTGCGCCCAACATACCTTTTCTAAAAGCTCCTGGTTTCTCTTAATGAAAAGTTGTTTATCTTCTACCCAGTGTGAATCCTGTTTGACAAAGAATATCGCGCAGTCAGCATTTCAGAGTGCCACGAAAGGAGTAGTATGTGTCCTCAAACCAGTTGGCCGGAGCCATGTTCTTTCCACCCAGTTTGCCTGCAGAGGGTAACTGGTTCTAGTAAATTACGCCCACCCTTTCCAGCACCTTTTTCAAAGACTCTGTTGCCAGGAAAAAAAATAGTCCTCTCTCCATTGTCATTTTCTACCCTCTACCTTTTCCAGTCTGAATAATCCAGGACCAGCCTTCTGGGGACTCAGAAGTGACCACACAGGCAAAAAGTGAAACAGGTCAGAATGCACACGGGCTCAATACATATGAATGGAGAACATTAAAATGTAGAACCATATATGTAGCACAGAGGTAAAGAATGCAGCTCGGGGCGGGCAGCACACTGCCTTAGCGGTTTGTGACAGCTCTAGGCCTAGTTGACTGGGCTCCTTTTCCGCTGACCTCTTTCTTGCCCACCTTCATTCACCACTGTGGCTAGGTTTGCACCCTAGGAGAATAACACCAGGGACAGGAATAGTTTACATTCTGACACAGTCTGAGAAAGGTCACTGTGGTGAGCCAAGCCATGTCCTGGGTATGACCCATGCATGGGGTGAGCCAGAGGAGAGTTGGAGTGAACCAGCTGCCACTGCAGAAAAGCTAGCATCAAGCACCTACCTGCCCTTTCTGAGCCAGTGTTGCCTCCAGATCTTCGATTTTGGCCCTGTACCTCAGCACCTCTGCCTGGAGCTGCTCTTGTGCCTGGTGAGATCAAAATTCCAGAGTCCGGTGAGTAAAATGGTCATTCAGTGTGTTGTCGTTTACTAGTGTTCAATAACTTTATTTGTGTAGGGAAAGGGTTTTCAAGAATTAAAGTATTCTGCAAAGTTGCCTTCACGATATAATAATATCTACAGTCTTCAGTAAACTTCCCTGGGATCCCATTTGTTATTGTGTTAATATTCACACTTTTTAGTTGGCCATTAAAGGAATCCCATCACACTCCAGACTCACCACCTAGACTTCACCTCTGGCCTAAAGTGGCATCCCTGTATCCTACATCCTTGCTGGCAACTTACAGCTGCTCTGTAATGTAAATGAACTTATTATTTAAGGGAAAATAAGTCTTAATTTCCTCTTCAAGTTCTATTCATTCTTTCGGAGCCCACTTTGTGCTCTGGTATCTACACCTAAATTGAAAACTTTTCAATTTTATTGGTCATTGCTAGGATACTATGAAATGTTAGCAAATACTACCATTGAAAATCTCAAATATAATTTGGTATTGAGGCAAACATATGAGTATAGGAGAACATTTCTTTCTGATGGTGCATGTCCTGTCCCAAATCACAGTATAGTTTTAAACATATCTTTTTTTGTGTGTGTGTGTGCGCGCCCGCGTGCATGCATGCTACTACTTTAAAAACAGAGACTTGTAATACCTATCTACCTTCTAAACTACTACTACTAGTTGCCATGGAATCTCCTAGCACAATGTAATTCCTTCAAAAGAAAAAGTGGGGCAACACAAGTGCAGAGACATGCTCCTTCTGGTCTCTTGCTAAAGGTCACAAGGCAGGGTCTTTCAGTGGTTCTGACTCTGCAGTTTGAGGGCTGGGTCCAAGTGCTAGCATTAGAGTGCAAGCAAATAATTTAACCTCATTGTGTGTATTTAACTTCTATGCTATCATTTCTTCTTCTGGAACTAGGAGAAAAATCATAGTCGTAGAACTTTTTAGCACTCTCAGTGACAAATGTGAAACACAGGGAGGAGTGACTGATTGCATAAACAAATACACATCCTTCCTTCTCTCCCTTCCTTCCCTTTCTTCCTTCTTTCACTTCCTTCCTTTCTTCTCGCCCTCCTTCCATCCTTCCCTTTCTTCCTTTCTTCCCTCTCTCTTTCCTTCTTTCCTTCCTTCCCTTCTTTCCTTCCATCCATCATTCCTTCTTTCCCTTCCTTCCTTCCTTCTTTCCTTCCTTCCTTCCTTCCTTCCTTCCTTCCTTCCTTCCTTCCTTCCCTAATTTCCTTCCTTCCCTCATTTTTTCTTTCCTTTCCTTCCTTCTTTCCCTCCTTCCTTTTTCCATTCCTTCCTGCCTTTCTTCCTTCTGCTCATCCATTCTTTGATTTTCCTTCTTTTCAAGAAAGGCTTATGAGGGACAGTTATAATATTCTACAAAGAACTTGAATTTGTAACTAGGGAAAGTTCATTAATCTCTCTGACTCTTAAATCCTTTTATAAAGCATCTGCTTAAGGGAGCTGACATAAAGATTCATTAAAATATTGTCTGTGAAATGCTTAGTGAATTATATATGCAATCTTTTGCACTTGTTAATTCAGAATAGAAAATGAATAATCATTATTTTTGAAAAATAAAATAATTATTATTTTTAAGCAAGGAACTTAAAAAATATATCATCAGAATCCAATATGGATTAACTCAGAGAGAAAATGTAAGTTTTCACATAGTAAAAATAAAAATGACATATTCAACTATTTTTAAAAGGGGGAAAAAAACAATTGATCCGTGCTGGTTTTTATGCGTTTAGATCTGAAGATTGTTAAATTAAACAAGAAAACTGTTCAAAAGCCACAGAGGACAAAACTGCATAAAGAAATCTGTGCTGCTGATATTCCAACGGCCACAGTGCTTTTGTGATGCAACCTCTGTATGTTAATTCCAGACCTCTTCAGGCCCACACTCACCTTGGCTTCTCTTTCAGCATCTATGATGCCTCCAGTCTGTTCCTGCAAGAGGGCATATGCTCTTTGGAGAGCTTGGTATTCTTTTGTTAATTGTCGAAATCGTAGCTCAGATTCTTCAGCAGCTAGACTCTAGGGGTTTAAAACACAAAAATTCCAAAATTAACTGTTATGTCTGCATCCTGTATTCTGCATGAAAAGTGACATTTGCCCACTTGTGTAAAGAAGTTATGATTTATTTGATTTTGTTTGTAAGAATGTAAATTCAGAATATGTTGAATATATATTTTGGAAAAATATGTAGGACATTATTTTAATGAAAGAAACCTTTATTTTTTACATTAGTAATTACTTTCAATTTGGCCTTGAATAATACTCAATTTTAGATTCAAACAAAAAGACACTATCAAAGTTTGGATGTAAATTTGAGGCAAGGATACTTAAACCTTTATTCTCATTTCTTTCCATGCATTTATATAAACAAATAGATCATTAGTTTATGATTATAAATAATAAAACCCCTTTCAGCTTTAGAACTTAGATTTGGGACATAATTTAATCATTACCAGAGAATTTGGTCAAAAATGTAGCATGAGGGGCCGGGGATAAAATTTAGTTGGTGAAGTGCTTGCCTAGCATGTATAGTGCTTATTTTCCAGCATTACAAACACACACACACACACACACACTCACACACACTCACACACACTCACACACACACACACACACACACACAGAGAGAGAGAAAACATATATATATATATATATATATATGTCATATATATCATATATATATATATGATAGAGACAGAGAAAGAGATAGCGATAGAGATAGATACAGATATAGATATTTTAAACATTAAGGTCACCTGTAATCCCAGAACTTGGGAGGTAGAGGCAGGAGGATCAGAAGTTATGGTCACCTGCAGTTGTTTAAGGAACCCAAGGTCTGCTAGCATTACATGGAACCCTGCCTATAAAGACAGTGAGTATGAACTGAGAAGACTCATGCACCTAACCCTGACTTCGTAGTTGTGTTCAGTACAACTGAACCTACAGGATCATTCTGATGAAAGTGGATCACAGAACATGTGTGGGGCTGCAAAGGGATGGTTTGTTCTCCCTGGTAGAGCACTGGGTTTGAGATAGCCAGGGACCCAACAGGGACATGGCCTGTCAGGGATGGCATGCATCTCCCCACGCTCCTGGATTCCACACCCCCAGATGTGGCCTATATCTCCATTAACCTGCACCTTACAGACACATTTGGCTCATAATAACTCCTCCCAGAGAGGTTTTGCATCACCATCCAGGTAGAGGGCATGACTAACAGAGATTTCCATATTCATGGAATATCTAAAGGCCAGGGGGCGTAGCTAATTAAGTCATTCCTTTTCCCACTCCCTCTTCCCCTCCCCTATTTAAGCCAGCTCCCCCTGGCTTTTTGTGGGAGGGGGACACGCACATCCAAATCCAACTATCACGCCATGAACAATAAATTTCTTAAATCCACGGACTCCATGTGTCTTCTGGGGCCTGCCGCCAAAGCTTCCAGCCTTTGAAACTTCAGACTTTCTCCTTATGGAGAAAGCCTCCGGGACTCTGACTGCCCGCCTGCTGGAGCAGGCTCCCTGCACGTTTTTTCCCCCACAAACATGAACTCTAACCCTGCCTCAGACTGAATCCAGACACCTCCTGAGCTTGCTTTCCTTTTTCTGTTGAGATGTATAATCCAATTATAGAGCCAAACTGAAGTTTGAAAAGTCCCTAAAGAGATTGTATGACATAGATGATGCTTATTTTCACGATTATCAAAGTGAAGTATGATCTTAAGGTTGGCCAGTGTTAAAGGATCACTTTGTGATTTTCCTTCCCCTTAGAGAGAAGATTTGGTGAAAATATCATGCAGGAGCAGAGAAAAGGCAAAACTTACTTCATCCAAGTCATCATCAGGGGTAGCAGGTGTCCGGTCTGTTCTAAAGGAGGTCATGGATGATGTTTCTGAGTCCATGGAGTCCTCGTCATAGCCAATGAATGGATCTAAAACAGGCCTCTAAGCGGAGAGAAGGTTTATATTTACTAATATGATGAAAATTCATGAATGATGCTGTATTCAAAATCCATTCACTAGGGCAGATAGAGATGAACATTGAGGTCATGGGCCCTTTAAGGCTTCTTTGGTGAAATACAAACTCTAGGCAGGTAGGCAGTACCAATTCATCCCTTGCCCATGTTGTCTTACTTCTGACTTATCCAAGGCAAATGTATGGATATTTGGCTGGCTTCTTAAAGCCACTCTACATTCTATGCCATCGTGACTTAACACATCTTATTCTTTTCAGTATTTAAAATCTGCCGAAGGGGCTTTGAAAATGGAGGCATTCATGTCAAGCAGGTCATAGGGTCTTAACTCTGGTCATCTAATCCCACATCCAAACCAAGTAAAAGGCAAGCACAAACATCAAAACAATGAGGATTCTGTTTATTAGAACCTATACACGTAATGATGGACTGAGAATGTCATTATCAATTATTTCCTAGTGATAATATTTAATCAATTACAGGACAGATATTGGAAGCTGATATGAGTCAATGTTAGATATTGATCACGTATATGGCTTAGTAATTCTCAGCGTGTAACATACCCACTTGTCAAAACCTTTTAACCTTAAGCCCACTGATTAGAGGAAGTCATAGGCTTTCAGGTTAGGACATAACATCACAGCCATTTCTAGATGGAGAAATGACCAGCGACTTTTCTTCCAACAAGTAGTCTTTATGGTATACTGCAGTTCAAGAGCATGATTTATCACATCTTTGCAGAAAGGTTTCTTAGCGTGCCTCCCTTTCCTGGCTCTTTGTGGTATTCTGATAACAGTTCCCTTATTACCTTGATTGGTTTCGAGCTTCTCCTGTGCTTTCTCCTACGGATGAGTTTTTCTCGATCCTAGAAAACAGATGAGGCCTTTTCAGAACGGAAGTTGTCAAATATTTCCCAACAGTTCTGTTGACACTATCTTCTGACTACAGAGGAAATGCCCACAGAAGAGGGCATTAGATCCAAGCGAGCCTCTGGTGGTGAGTGCAGAAAACTGAGCTCGAGGGCTGAGCTACCTCTGCAGACCCTTGTTTTGTTTTTTAAAGAGACAGTTGTTTTCCCTTGAAGGATTATATATTTTTATCTGAAGTATGATTTTATTTTATGAAATTTGGTGACTTCTGTAAAATATGAATTGCCAATATTTTCAGAGTATGTGTATTATATTTTTCCTGCTGTCAAATCAGAAATTACACTTTGTTCCTTCATTTTATACTTGAAAACAAATAACATTGAAAACTGAGTCCCACAAAGAATAGTTGTTATGCTTCCCAATATGCAAAATTAATTTTCATTTGTGAGGTGAAAATATTATTTCTCACTAAAATGCACATTTTTGTTTACATTTTGTCATTTCCTAGCATAGACAGGTGTCTCTTGACTATTTTTGGAACCTTGTTTCAAAGCTGCTGCTGTAAGGATGAGCAGGAGGCAGAGTGTTTACTTGCTGGGAGTCATCTAGTTTTGTTTCTGTTTACTTTGGGAGAAATGGCCCTGTTTTTTTTTTTTTTTTTTGAGAAACTTAGTGAATACCTACCAGCAGCAATGAACTTCGTGACACAGACGCTGTGTGTACAGATACTTGGACAACTTGGGATTTAATCATCAAGTACAACACGTATTTACTGCAAATTTCAACTATATGGAACTCTCCAATCAATGAAAAACTTATAGCTTAATTGGAGGCTGTTCAAAATTAGGTATATTCCTAGACCACAGGGTACATGAGACTTAGGAGATATCAAGGTGGGAACAAGGACTCAGGTTTCACATTACATTGAATATTGACAATGTAATGGCTCAAAACATTGACATTTAACTTTATCTTTTGCCTTTATATATAAAATATTTTGATCATGCCTTCTTAATATAGCTGAAACTTTTAAAGTTTACATATCATATATTTAGGTAACTTTCTTAATCTTAATTATAGCATACATGAAAATGGGCAGTTTTTAAAGGATGAGTATTAATTAATTAAAAACAGAAGTGCCATATTTTGCTGGCAGTGGCAGCGAATCATCTTGTTTATCTACTCTGGAGACTGTTGTCTAAGAGCACGTCATGCTCCCATGATTAGTTCAAGTCTACATACAAGCTTTGGCTTATTCTTGAAAGAAGAGGAAACAAAAATGCCACTCTCAGAATAAAGACAGGGAGGGGAAGAAGACAGTCTGAAGGTTCAGGAGGTCTCTCTCCCCCACACTGCTAATGGGAACTTCAACCAGATTCAAATGGTGTAGCAGCAATAACGTAGTCAGCAGGTACTGAAGTATCCATCAATCAGAAAGTGTAGATGGGAATTCCTGCTTTGTTATATACCTATGATGATGCTCTTTACTCACAAAGCTGTGAACAGGTTGTATCTATGTGCTGTACACTAATTAGGTGCCAGAAACAAGACATACAAGACATGTTCCTGTTTTTCTAGGCAAAAAAAAAAAAAAAAGAATTGATGAGCTTCAGAAACCTGATCCCAGTAGACAATTAAAAAATACACCTACCTACCCTGTATACATCCATAAATGGGCATTTGAAAATTCCTTTAGTACAACTTATGCTTTCAAACTATTTGGCAAATGTTTATAATTGGAATATCAATCAGCATAATGTAAGACATTTTGAGATAGTTTCTTGTACATAATTACATACTGAGCATATCAGTCTGGGCATTTGGAGTTAATCCATGATTATTGTGTGCTTCTTCCTTATGTGTTAGTTGTTGGCTACCCATCCTTGAGAACAGCTAGGCGTTTACAGAGAGTTCACCTACCCTTGTGAGCTCATCAATGATGTTCTGCTGCTCAATGACCTGCAGTTTTAGGAACTCCGTCTCTTGTTCTTCATTAGCTTGGTCAAGGTCATTCAGAGACTTCAGTTTCTTCAATGGTGGGTGAGACGTTATTTTTTCTCTCTAAATTGGAGAAAAAGAAATTACAAGTAGAAACTTTTTTTAAAAATCCCAAAATTTAGTCATTGATATATTTGTAGAAATTGGGGTCCAGTTGATTTGAATATTTTCCCAGTAGATGACACACTTTTACATCCATGAACTAAAATTGTCAAGTACATTTTATCTTTTATAATCCACTGAAGTCCTTGGCAATGTTCTGGAGATTTCTAAAGCTATCTTGGAAGCCTTTTCAGGAATGTACTATCATATCAGTCATTCATACACAATACAAGCTATGATATTGATTTCCCAACTGTTAAAAAAATTAGAAGGCAGGCATGACCTTGGTCCATATTTCTGTGGCTGAGGAACCACACCGAGGCTTTGCTTCTCGGTTTCCCAGTATCTGAAGAATAAGTGCATTCCTGGAAGAGCTCCTTCAGTTCTGCAAGGTTAGAAGCCCCATAAGTTTGGAGGCAGGATCTTCTCTTGCTTTCTTCTTTCCCTTGCTTACTCAAGGGAAAATACAAGTATTATATAAAAAAATCAACCTCAGGAAAAACCACTAGGTCAGGAGCAACCCAGGAAAGGAAGCAGCAGGTTTTGTAGAGTCTGTGCTACTCACCATCTCTGAATTTTCCTTTGTTACTGCTTTTAGTTTCTCTTCCATGCGTTGCAAAGACACCATCAGTTCATCGTTTCTCTTGGCTAGGCACTTGTTCCTTTCCAGGAGAGGTTTGCATTGTTTTTCGGTTTCCCGCACGCGTTTTAACTGGATATAAACAAATTATAACTTGTTTCTCCTATCTTGAGGGAAGTAGGGCAAGAGAAGTCAAGTGTGAAAGAAGAAAAACAGCCCAGCAGTCACCCCGTGTGTCTCAGGAATGACTACTACATTCTTCTCCTCCATTAATGGGTCAATCTTTTCTAGTTTTGTCTCATGAATGTTATTTTTGCCTGCCTGCCTCTCTTCTTCCCTTCCTCCCTCCCTCCTTTCCTCTTCGTGGGACTGTGCTATGTAGAGCTAGTAGACTCTGAACTTTCACCATGTAGACCTAACTAGAATGGAACAAACAGGATTCCCCTTGTTTCTGCCTTCCCAGTGCTGTGATTAGAGGCCATGAACCAGACAGAACACTTGGCCTTCATCATAGTCCTCACATCCTGCCTTATCTGGTACCTTAACAGAGGTGCCACAGATGTTGTTGGTTGAAGTGTCGAGAAGTGAAGTTCTATTGCTCCCTTTTACTTTCCCCACTTCCTTCTGCCATGCGTGAACAAACTGACTGCATGGTTCAGGAAAGACCTCTCATTGGCTCAGGAATATACAGAAGACCATTTAAACTGCATGATCACCAGAACCTGGTTCCAAGCCTTATTCTCTCCAACTACATTACCTCCATTAAAAGGTCTTGCTGAAATCTCACGCTCAGTAAGTAAGATAGCTTACGTTTTTCTATTGTCACAGGGACAGTTATATTTCATAGGATGTTTAGCAGTATCCATGCCCTCTGCCTGCTAATGACACTAATATCCTGTCAGCTGAGATGACTACATGTTGCTCAAACTGACTTTAGTTTAGAAGTACGAGGCTAAATGTCTGAATGTTGCCTTGTAAACCTTTCATTTTCAAAACTCTTCTGTTTGGTTTCCATGTTGAATTTTTAACTATTAGTTTATTCTTTTCTTATCACAAAGAAGAAGGATCTCAGAGGATCTCAAACATAGTGAGTTCCTTTATATGGAAATCTATGAATTGGGGAGATACTGAGGAAGGAGAAAGTTACCTATACTTAACAACAACAACAACAACAACAACAACAAAACAAACAAACAAACAACAACAACAACAACAAACCCCTCCATTTATGGCTCTTGGCATTTCCTCAGTTCCATCCTAATCTGAATTTGAAAACTCCAGTTTTATAATGAACACAAACATATTGGCTTTATTTTTCATAAATAATCTGGAGCATCTCATAATTTTTGAGCATTGATAACTGAATCATTAATATTAAATTTTAAGTACATATAAAGACAGACTGTTCAATGGGTTTATTATTCCAACCTTTGCCTCTTATGGAGGTTAATGACCTGTATTTTAAATATTCAAGTCTACCCGGTGTACACTATTCATAGAAAATTTAAATGAGCATGAGAAGAAAGAACTGTCCAATTTTAGCACAGCATGCAATCATGACAGTTCTGAGGCATCCAAAAAAATGCTTCTTCAGAAAGACAGGCCTTAGTATGTAACAGAGACTGAAATTACACATATTATCAGCCATGCATATATGTACGCATATATACTAACAAACAGAGATTCATGTGAACAGTAAAGCCACCTGCTATAGTTTAACTCACAACAGGTAGACCTGAGGTTAAGGAGAGAATGTGTTTTATAATATAAAAGAGTTGATATTCCAAAACCATTAACAAATATTAATTTATACCCATCAAGTAACATTACTTAAAATAAGTATGAGGAAAAATGGGCAAAGCAAAGAAGAGACATGGAAAAGTTTGCTGAGAGAATAAGTAGACAAAATATTAGAGACATAGAAAATGTAAAACAGGGCAGCAAATTTGAAGGAAGCTATAACTAAAGATTGTGGAGCACTGCTTTCTTTCCTGAGAATATGAGTCTGAGATATTTCTAAAAGCCACTGTCATGATTTGATTTTTGTCACCTTGACAGAAACTAGGGTCACCTGAGAGAGGGAACTTCAGTTGAGAAAATGTGTTCTGGATATTGGCCTGTAGGCAAGCCTGTGAGGCATCTTCTTGATGAATAATTTATGTGAAAGGGCCCAGGCCACTGTGGGTAGTACTACGTCCTAGTGAATGGTCCTGGGATGTATAAAAGCAAACTGAGCAAACTAGGATCAGCAGGCCAGTTGGCACCATTTTTCTGTGGTTCCTGCTTCAATTCCTGCCCTGACTTCCCTTCATGATGGACTGTGATCAGAACATGTAAGTCAAATAAATCCCTTTCCTCTTCAAATTTCTTTTGGTCTTGCTTTTTTTTTTCCATAGCAGTAGAAAGCAAATGAAGACAGTGAGTCTATGTTAAAGAAAATCGTAATAAGCACAAGGGGATACAATGTTTCAAAATGGAGTAACTAGTGACAGAAGTTAAAAAAACAAACAACGTTTGCAAATTGAGCCACACAGTTTTTAGAAGAAATTTCATAATACGGTTTTAAAAAATAGGATGAAAAAGCAATACATTATAATGCTCATAGCTTATGAGAGGAAATGATAACTCAACTCTAGGGAAAAATGATGGCCCCAAATAAAGGAAAGAATCATGTAGGACCTTGAAAGGCAGCCTGGTTTCTGGTTGAGCACAGGGTAGAAACCCCCAGAGATCCCAGGTGATCCTAAGGGGCCCCAGGTGACCTTGAGGGACCACAGTTGACCCCTAAAGGATGTCAGGTGTTTTGCCATGCTCCCAGACTTTAGGATCCTAACAGGAGGCTGCACGCCTCTATAGATTTGTGTTTTTCAGCCACATAAGGGCAATGCCCCTACTAGCCCCTCCACAGGTAGAAGGAGTGATCAGAAGTCAAGACAGATCTCTATATTAATGAGGTACCTAAAGGCCAGAAGGGCTTAGCCAATTAAGCTTTCCTTCCCAGACCCTCCTCCCTGAAAAAAACGATGTTTAACCTCAGGCCCTCCCTGAGAAAACGTGTACTTTCCGCCATGATAATAAACATCTTAAAACCATGGACTATTTCTTTCATTGGGATCTGTCGTGGGGAACAATGGAACAGGCCTTTGGATACAGAGCCATCTAATCTCCCTCAGAAGACCTCTCTGCATTTGCAGACTGTGCTCCCCCACCCCTGGAACTATGTCCCCTGTAGCAGCAGCTTCTCACAGCCAGACACCCTCCCAGCACTGGCATAGGATGAGTGCAGTCAAACTTCCAGTGTCATGCCTCTCCAGCAGTGGCCCTAGTCCTGTGATGGGGTAGACACTGGACCCCCACCATAACCCAACAGGATCAAATCATGTTTAATAAACAATTCCATTAAAATATAAGCCACAGGGTAGTATATCAAAATGGCCATTTTTAAAATGCAGTAATTAATAAGAAAGTAAAGCAGGGTGCTGGCTCAGTGGGGTTAAGAGCACTGACTGCCTTCTAAAGGTCCTGAATTCAGTCCTCAGCAACAACTTGGCAGCTCACAACCCTCTGAAATGGGATCCAATGCCCTCTTCTGGTGTGTCTGAAGAGAGTGTATTCACATATATAAAATAAACAAATATTTAAAAAGGAAAGAAAAAAAAAGCACTTACTCATCTGGAGTCATGTGGGGCAGCCTCTTTGTGAGTATTTATTATTCTGTACCTTTATTACCTGCGTGCTTTTCTCTTATGATAAACTACACAACACAAGGCATACTTTAGCGCATAACATCTAACAAGGCATGTAATAAAAACAGTTTGAGTGCAACTCACCAGCTCGTTTCGCTCATCTCCGAGCAAGGTGTTCCTGTCTTCTAACTTTCGTATCGTGGCATTCAATTCAGCTATTCTCTTTTGATTTCTTCGCAAATCCTACACATGAGAACTAAAATGAGTATCTCTGTACTACCATTAGTAAAAGTAACAGGCTCCTTTCTTCCAGTTTGGCCCATGAAGATAAATGGTCTTTTACTAAGAGAAGACGAGTTAGCTTTTTCTCTCAATATTTACTCCACAGCTGGCTAAAACCACAAATGAATTCCATGTGGCAGATAGACAGACCCTGGAGTCCAGCCTCGTGGCATGGACAGAGTGACAGAAGGTTGAAGCAGGTTATCAGAACTGCTTGTCATGTGACCAAGGCACAGTGTGAAGTTCAGAGAATATCCTCATGTCGTAAGTGTTCATTGCGTCCTTTGACACAGACATTTGCCTGCTATTATACTTAGCCACAAAGGGGACAGATTAGGAACTAAACATGTGCTTTGTGAACTTCTGTATACTTACTTGAGAAAAGGTCATTGTGAGGAAGCATATTACCTTCATGTGAAAAAGGCAGGGTATACAAAATAAATCAGAATAAAATATTATACACAATATAACCAATTGTTATGAATCACCTTACACATAGCAGTTACCACTAATTCTGTGCTATAGGCCTACTCTGATTACATGCTTGGGATTCTATTATTATTTTTCATTTTGACAGTGGCTCGCTGTTGTGTTGGTGGTGCAGTTTCACACCCCTGGAGTCATCATAGCCTAGAGGGTTCAACAGAACTGGCCAAATTGACAGTGGTTCTACGTCAGCCTAGATCTTGTAGTGGATAGTTGTAGTCAGAGCCATGAGGGCTAACTATGGACCAAATACAATATTCTACACTCTCTAAATTGTGTTTTGTAACAGGTAGACCATCTTGAAGAAATCACCACGACTTCCATCTTACATATAAGGATACTAAATGGGGAAATGGTTTGTATAAGGAAACTAAACTAATGAATTTGAACCAAGGAGTCTAAATCCAAAGTCCATTTTGGAGGTAAGGTAATCATGATAGATCACATGTAGGTATTAGTAAAAGACCTAAACTTTTCATGTGCTACATCCTAGATTAATATATACTTCCTACCGCCTACAAGGATGTGTATGTGTGTATATGTGTGTGTGTGTGTGTGTATATGTGTGTGTCTTCCTGTATATGTGCTTGAGTGTGGGAGTATGTGTGTCCTCTGAAAACCAATTCATGAATTACTCACACTTCGGAATTCAGTTTTGTTCGTAAATCACATGTTTTCTTTTCTTTCTTTTTTTTTGCAGCAAAATCATTTGATAGCCTACTGCGTGCAAGCTTATATATCTCAGCATACATCTGAAAATAATTTCTCATGTGAAACTAAGACAATCTGGTAAAATAAGGGGTGGGTTCATTAAACTAGAAGCTTTCATTCTATGGCTATAGACAATTCAGTCTTTTTTTTTTTCTTACAGGCATGCATTTCAATCTCTGAAGATGATAACGGTCTTTGTCAATTTCTAATCCAGTTGTTCACATACGGGAAAATTACCAGCCTTGCCAACAGGCCAGTATCTTCCTTTAACTCTTAATTTTTGTAATGGATTCAATTTTGGATAGATATCACTAGGCTAGAGAAATTCTGTGAAAGATTCAGACACCTGCAGTTCTTAAGTGGTATGCTAATGAAGCACAGCCTACTTTGTTGTCTGTGAGTCTAGAAAAGCCTGTTCCCAAGATACATGCTGCTTTTATAGTACGAGGTAGAATTGATTCCTTTGTACTTATAGATAGCAAAATAGTGTAAGTGAAAAGCAGAACTTGAGAGCTAAATAAAAGATGACTCCGGAGTTGTTAACCTCAACTCATTGGGACTTACCGGGCTGCTGCAGTGTTCAGAGCCATCTCCTGCCCTTCCTGGAATCTCTCTCTTCGGACTGCTCATGTTACACTCTGCTTCCTTGACAAGAAAGAGCTGCTCATCCAAAGCCTCCTTCTGCAGCTGGAGTTTCTGTACATAGCCTGTCTGAGTCTCCAGTTCCTTTTCCAGGGAAAAGATGATCCTGTCCTTGGCTTTGATTTCATCCATCTGAATTAAATGAGAGCCAGGACATTTAATGTGACTATGCTAGAAACCAATCCCATTTTCACCATGGGAAGTCTGCCTCTTTCTTGTGATGATGCAGAAAAAAAATCCTCGGGAATCTGTCAAGTGTACTGAACTCACAAATAATATGGAGTAGCACTGACTAATAAAAGGCATACCCTGAATGGGTGTCGTCCTTACATGCAGTGTTTGAAATGATCTGGGTTGGCTAGCAAAGGGTAAATTTAAAATGGATTATTAGCTTCAATAAAGATAGATTCAGAATATCCCACTATGATGATTCTCAGGACAAACAATTACTGTCTCTTTCAGGAAACTAGTATTCACTCTTGATCCTAATATTGATCGATATTATCAGCCAGTCATTTGCAACTGAAGAAAATAACAGGCTTTCCAGCAGTGGTTTACTTGTTTTCTAGGAAGTGTCAATTCTGAGGCTCCCTGAAGGTGGTTCTGTTGTGTGATCTTTCCTTTCCCACCCACACCTCAAGACAACCAGCTTTAGCACTCATATTGCCAGAAAACCATCACTGTGACTAGAATAGGAAAGAGAAATGCCTGGTAATTATATTCAAAATATTTCCCCATATATCTGTGGAAAATAGTTATTGATTTCAACACTCATATATTCTAATCCTGGGTGTGTATCAAATATATTAATTTTGTACTTAAGCCACAGGTATCATGTGTCAGTGGATAAGAGTTCCAATTGACTGGAACCAGTTTGTTGTGCCTAGATGAGGGACACCCAAGAAATGAAAGGAATGTAAGCACTTTTGAAGAGATTATAGACACCAGGCAAAACCTTTTTGGTCCATTTCATTATATTCTATGTGAATAGTTAAAATAGAAACAAGAAAAGACATTTAGCATAAATGTCATTCTTCCTCCTTTCTTGTATTTAATGACTCACCCACTTAGTGTGTTTCCTTGCTGTGCTCTTTAGATGAGGAGAGCAGTACAGCATCTGTTTGCACTGCTACTTGTTTTCTGCACATCAGTGCCTGGCTGCTGACTCTACGCTACGTGACCACACTGGCAGACTACTGGACTGAAGTCCGCACTATCCTATAACATCACCTGATAGCCACTAAAGATGGAAATAGTTTCCTGTTGAGTTGGAAGAGAATATCAGCTGTATTTTCTTACTCCTGAAAGCAGTCTGAATCCAGGGTTAAGCTGAGCACACACAGGAGTTGATATATACAGAGTTATTTGTGGATTAATACAGCACATAACCTGCATGTTTCTGGCTACTTGTGATGTTTTCTGTGTTATGACAGATACTAGATCAGTTCATTAACACCCCATGGAGCCATCCTTACCACCTCTAATATTATAAACAATCCTTTACAGTATAAATCTGATCCTTGGAAGTATTTTCAACCCCATGGTTATACAAGTTATCTCACTTTCTATTAATGTCCTGTTTAGTAGGTTTGATGACCACTCTGCACCAGATGAGACTCAGAACCTGAAAGGTTAAGCATTACATCATTGTGACCTGCCTTGTGTGTGATGAAATTTTGATACTTTACCTTCTTCTTCAGAACCCATCTGTCAGGCTCTGTGATATACTGGCTCTATGATCATCCACATACCTCCAGAATTTTCCAATGTGGTCCCCAGTGGAATATCTAGCCATGTAGGTGGGCTCTATTATACAGTGGTTATGAACATGTAATTTGAGTCTCAGGATACTGCAAAATTAACCAGTGGTCTAGTTCATAGATAAGAAGAACTGTAGGGTTTTTTTTTTTGGTAAGATTTTCTACAAAGATCAGATCTCATTTCTTTCCCCCCCGCCCCCAGGTCCAAAAGTGCATGTGATGGTGAGAGAAAGGATAGCAAAAAAAAATGAGAAAGGGAAGTCAGAGATACATACATTAATAAAACATTTCCCTGCATTATTCTGTTTGCACCCAAGTTTTGAGCCACTGTTCAGGTGGTTTAGATTTCATGTGGTTGCGTGGGAGAATCTCCTGACTATGTCAGCAGTGTTCTTGGAAAGGAGTAATGGGGAGGAAATTAGGACTAATTTGTCGATTTCACACTAAAAGGCAAGCAACAGTATTCAAAGGTTTCTTGTAACTCACCTACCTGATTGTTCCATAGTTCACAGTCTCGAATCCTTCTTCATCAACCATGGTCATTTCAGAAACCAAGAGCAGGGCAGAAACCATTATTTCTGTCCTGCATTTGGCCTCGATTGTCAAACAGTGTGGGAGAATCAACTGAAGCTAAATTGCTCAGAAAGGGCAGCAGGGGTGGAGTTTTACAGCCCCATTGTACCACATTGCTAAGAATATGACACAGACTTAACTTGTAAAATCTTCTATGGGAACCACTTTTAGCTTAAAGCGGAAATCCTAGAGACATTATCCAAAGCACAAACAGAATTTCTAGGAAATTACTGAAGACTGGCAGACACAGGGAAAGGATGGATTTTCCTGAATGATATTCTGCTTAGAGAAACATATAGTATTAAATACATTTTAAAATAATGGTTCTCAACCTTCCTAATGCTACAACCCTTGAATACAGTCTTTCATACTGTGGTGACCATCAACTATAAAACTATTTTTGTTGCTATTTCACAACTGTAATTTTGCTACTCTTATGAATTATTTTTATTTATGAAATTAATTATTAATTAATTATATTTATGAAATATTTTTGGAGGTAGAAGTTTGCCAAGGGGGTTTCCGCCCACAGGTTGAGAATCACTGGTCTAAAGATTTAACCTAACCGTCAACTTTCACATGTAGATGAATATAAATTTTTGTTCTGAGTTCATTAACAAGGTTAACCTAGGGTCCTACAGCTTTTAGACCATGGATTAATTTAATTTATTTATTTTAGCATTGTGATATATATATATATATATATATATATATATATATATATATATAGAGAGAGAGAGAGAGAGAGAGAGAGAGAGCGCTTTTGGCTTTGCATGCTAAAAGAAAAAATTTTGTGTGGGTTGAACTAAAGAAAACTATAAACAAGAAGCTACCTCTGAGTGACATCCAACTGAATAAATAAAAATTAAATTAAATTAAATTAAATTAAATTAAAAAGTAGGAATGGCTCATAATAAATATTCCTTGCTTATTTGTGGGTAAGGAACCCATTTTTAAAATAACCAGGGATTTTAAAGCTCCGTGTTTGCGCTGATGAATCACTCAAGATGTTTTTCAACAGTGGCCATTTTCAGACAAATTGTAGAAACATCCCTTTGTCCTGTAAAATACCAATGAAATTTACAACCGGGAAGCCCACAGCAACAAGCTAAGGTTAGGAGGGTTTGTAAATTAGTCTTTTCACGGACCACCGAAGAACACAGGTTGCTGCATGAATATCTGTGCGCCCACGTGAATGCAGTTACTATGAAATATACTATGAAAATGAAAACTCTAAAATCTTTTACATTTTACAGTTCCAATTTCTGTTAAACTACCTACCAATGAACCTTTCGCTAGGACAGCACAGCTGGCCAAAGCACCGGTGTTGTTTATGGTAAATGACAAGAGAACACCCAACAGAGCTCTGGCAAAGTCGGCCTGCTCTCATTAGTACTAACCAGCCTCCGGATATCCCGTTCCGATTCCCACTTGATCTTCGAGATGGCTTCCTGGTGGGACTGATGCTCACTCCTAAGGTCCCCAGCCTTAATTTTATCCGCTTGGATCATATTGCTCAGAGCCTCATCCACCTGCTTCTTGGCAGTTTTCAAGTCTGTAATTTCCTGCAGGAGTTTCAGGCGCTCTGCATCAAACTGTTTCCGGGCCTCCTCCCGGGCCTCAATGGTGAGTGCTGTCCTTACTTTGTCACTGCTGCCATCCCGGAGAGCACACAGAGCAGACTTGAGTCTCTGGATCTCCCCATCTCGCACCTTCACTGTCCTTGACATTTCCTGCTCATGCTGCTTGATGAGATTCTCCCTCACAGCCTGCAGCTCCTTCATCTTCTCCTCGTGGAGCTTGGCTTTAAGCTCTGTTACTAGGACTGTGTGTTTGCGCTGCTCCAGCTCACGAATCCTCTTTGCTTCTTGAGTCTTCTCTCTTTCAAGCTTTGATACCTAGAGGCAGAGAGGTGAAAGGATGAAAAAGCATGAGCCTCAAAGAAAACACGTGCTCCCAGGCAGGATTTTGCAGCTTAGGCTGCTATGATCTCTTAATACCTTATTTATTAAAAAGGGGGTGGGGAATACAAGCTACTGTGTGCGCAGAGGAAAGGAAAGCCCGGGCCTTAAAGCAGAGACTATGGTGTGTAAAAGGAAGAAACATCTAAGATGTTTATCTTAGCCTGTTCAGACAAATGTTTGATATTCTGAGGTCTCTTCTTAGTCAGTATGTGGTCCATAGACTGGCAGCTCCAGAGACACCTGGAAGCTTGTTAGAATTGCAGAATCCCAGTTCCCCACCGAACCTACAAATCAGAATGTGCTTTTAACAGCTCCCCAGGCATCTGGTATACCCAGTAAAACTGTGAAGCTTTGCTGGGTGGTTCTCCCATTGATAAGAGAAATGTCTACAGTTACCAACTGCACAATCCTGGCTTCATCCAAACCCATAAATGTGGACATCTCTGCATGGCTTCAAGCTTGATACATCAAAAAGGTGCCTAAAATATTTTATGATGCTCCTCTTTCTCATTTGGGAGGGAGGAGTGCAGGTGTAGCACAGACTGCTGCTAATGGAGAAGACAATGAATGGAGATAGTTGAAATAGCCATGGCGTTATTGTTCTTTGTATAGCAACCATGTTTCATTCCTCCATTTGTTACATATATCCACATACAAGTCCACTAGTTAGCCGAACAGATAGCATCCTTAAATTCGGTAGTCTGTTGGGTTCTTCTTTAATTACAGGGATTTAGGCATGTTGCTTCTAAACGCTGCAGGTCTCTTTTTAGTCTCACTCTTTTCGTTTGACCCTGTTGCCCCCAAATCCAAGCACTCCAAGCAATTTCATAAGATTTTTTTCTAATCTTTCCACCTTTAAAGAATTCTGCTGAAAATAATCTCCTGAGTTTTGTTACATTTCCAATGACAGTATTCATTCTTTTCAGTCTGTGCTACTTAAATGTGACCTAGTAAATCTCTGATATAACAGAATGCTATGAAGTGGTAGCTGGCCACCTCAGTGCCATGAGGAGGTCCCTCTGTGATCCTGTGCTATTTTCTCCTCTGCTCAGTTCATCCTATAACCTGCCTGTGTCAGCTTGCTGTTTCTTTGTCTTGGTAGAACAGGGAAACACACACACACACACACACACACACACACACACACACACACACACAGAGAGAGAGAGAGAGAGAGAGAGAGAGAGAGAGAGAGAGAGAGAGAGAGAGAGAGAGAGATTGAAAAGCTGAAGACAATTTGAAAGCCCCAGGAGCATTATTTTATTGTGTGACAGTCTCTGCCATTTCTCTAGTTGGAAAGTGTTAATAATAACACATAATTTTAATGTTTATTGAAAATAACTTCTCCCTTAAAATATATTCTGATTGTGATTTTCCTTTTCCAATAATTTGAGAGCTTTTCAACCTACAAGTGTTAAAGTCTCTTTTAAAATCATTGTAACTAGAATATAGTATGCAGGATTTTACTTACCTCAGTAACTTACCTGTCTTCAGCTATAACTGTATTTTCTAAGTGAAGTAGTGTTTGGTGAACATACTTTTTAAAGGCACAGGAGTTAATCTCACAGTGGTTCTACGAGGGTGAAGAACCCAAGAGGTTCTAAGAGGGTGAAGCAGCAGTCATGTGTGTCCCAATGACTGTCTTCTGATCTCTCCTCAGCCTGATGTCCAACATGGTGGATACTCACTACACTAAATACTTGAAGTATTACAAGCATGAGATTAGCTCCGTGTGTAAAGTACAGTCTGGATTTTGATGACTTATCACAAGACAGTTTCTTGTTAGTCCTTTGTCATTTATTGAAATGACAGTATTTTTTTTTGTGTGAGTTAAGTTAAACAAACTATCATGGAAAAGAATTGATCTCTTCCACTTTCTAAAAATTTGGCCACAAGACAATTAATTACAGGTCTCCTATCTGGTATTCATTTGCAGTTCACATTTTGTTTCTTTTTGTCAGTGTTGCTCTGAGTTCTTTGGTTCATTTAGAGAGAATGATTTTCTTCACTCTGCTAGTGATGCTCTCTTGGTAAATCCCAGACCTGGCACTACTGTCATAACTGTTCCAAAGCCACAGAGGTCCCTCCACACTGAGAACGGAATCCCTATACTTCAGCCTTGCCAGTCAGGATCCTATATAGGTAGAGCAGGACTTTGTTCCTCCTTCCCCTCCTCCACCCCTGCTCCAGACACGAGAGAATATGCTATTTTCTGCATATGGTTTATATTTGTACCTGTCTGCCAACAGTCTCTTTTCCCTGATGGCTCTCCTCTTGACTCTCTTTGGGATTCTCACATTCCTCCTGGCCCAGCTACTTACCATCCTTTCTTGATATGTGATCCTGATTTCCTAGGATTAAGCCTGTGTCTACTGTTTTTTGTCTTCTCAGCGCATTTTGTTGGTCCTTAGTACATTTTTCTTTATGTAACAGATTTTATGCATGCTTCTCTCTCATCGCATCTCCTCTTATCCTGTCCCTGATTGGAAACTCCTAGGAGACTACTATTGTATATCCATGTATTGCAGGCACAGCACAGAAAGGAGCAAGAAGGCACAGGTGCAATTACAGACCATATGCCATTGTTTTCTGGCTAGCCCGATAAGCAGAGGCATGGATAATATGTCCTGTCATACAGTTTAGAGAACATAGGCTCAGGGAGTTACCAGGGTAACTGTGCATTCACTCATGCACCCTTGCAAGACACTGCAGCAAAACACAGCATCTCTAACAGGTAAGACTGCTTCTCTGTTCTTGACAATGTAGATTACATTCTCATCTTCCCAGAGTAAACAGAAAATGGTAACTTCCAGTTATGGGATGAGGAAACTACAGCTCATATATCTGGCTCTGCTTTTTTTTTTGAATAAAGATCTATTGGAATACAACTACCACTGTTCATTGCTTGGGGCTGTTTTCACATTACAGTGATTGAGTACTTTCAGAGATTGTCTGACCCACAAACCCTAAGATATTTAGTGTCTTCCACTTTGTAGGAAGGTTTCTTAATTCCTGTTATAGATAATGCATTTATTTTTAGAGGAAGGGCTCCCCACCAAATTTAGAAACTCAGTTTAGCTTCCATATAAGACATTAGGAATGTACCCTTAGCTCGAGTGATGGGAACTTGGACCTTCTCTGTCTATGCAGTAAGTGATTAAAGTAGTGGCATTGGGAAAAAGATCATGACAACCTGGCTATGGGGTCACAAGGTCCTAAGGGTAACAACACTTCATAGGACAGTGATGAGCTATAATGAGAGTGGACACCAGGTAAGGAATTTTGGATTTGAATTTCTGTTCACCATCTAAGACAGAGGTTCTCTACTTTCCTGATGCTGCAACCCTTTAATTCAGTTCCTTACGTGATGATGACCCCAACCACAAAATGTATTTTTATTGCTACTCCATAACTGTAAATCTGCAGCTATTATGGATCATAATGTAAATATCTGTGTTTTAGGTGACCCTGGGAAAGAGTAGTTCCACTCCAAAGAGGTCACAACCCATAGGTTGAGAACCATGGATCTAAGAAAATGTGTTTGAAAGATACCTTTAATAATTATTTCTAGGACCATTTTAAAAACACATGAGAAAATAACTTGAGCTGTTATGCACTTTGGTATCTAAGGCAATATTGTATTAGATATTACAGTAAACATTACACCCTAAACGACTCATGTCAAATACTCTCGAAGTACCTAACAGAGCATCTTCTGGTGATTCTGTCTTGATTGTGTTGCTTCTCTCAGATTATAAATAGTAATCTTTCATGTGTATCAGCAGAGAGAGAGATTAAAAGAACAAAAAGTTAAACTATAAAAAATACAGCTGTATGGAGACTATATTCCAGCCCAAAGAGAAAGCTAACAAAAACAGATCCTGATCATGGTGTCAATCACTCATGAGAATTCACAAAACAAAGAAACATTCATATTTGTTTCAGTTGCCATGGAAAAGGCAATTATTTGCAGGATCTCTTGATATGACTTGTTTTCTCTTTAAACTTATCTGGGAAAGTGCTTCACTTTGAGGGAGGGCTAAAAGATGCAATTTGGGAGACTCAGGAGGCCATAACAAAATGATTCTCAAATATCCTATGCTATGACTCTTTAATACAGTTCCTTGCGTCATGGTGACCCACATCCATAAAATTATTTTTGTTGCTACTTCATAACTGTAATATTCCTACAGTTTTCAAATAATAATGTAATCATCTGATATTTCTGATGGTTGTAGGAAACCCTTGTGAAAGGGTCCTACCACCTCCAAAAGGTCGCACCCTACAGACTGAGAACCACTGCAGTTGGGTAGTAAAGTCTGTTTCCAAACTTTTATATAATTTAGGCATTAAGGCAGAAGATTTAAATACTGTAATATAAATCTTGAGATGAGAACACAAAAGAGCTATTGCTGAATAGAAATGTAAATATGAACATGATAATATTTTGAAATGGTGAAAATTATGTAGCAAATGATATCACTTTGAACAGTGTGGGTGTTTTTGCAAAGATAAGCTCAACCATAGGCTTGCTGGCGTTTCCATGTGTTTTACTCTAAGTTGATGCCTTTGTAAATAGGTATTGTACATATTATTACATTTGGCTTGCAGGTTAGCTCTGTGGTGTCTATAGTATTTATACCCAGTATTTCAGCGGAGAAAGGAAGACATAATCCCTCTATAAGCACAACACAAATTCTACCAGTGTGGCCAAGAGTCAAGTCTGGCCTAGAGCCCAGGCCTGATTGCTCTCAAACTTTCAGTAAACTCCTTTACCTCTGTCAGCCTTTTTCCTATTGGCATAGTGGGTTGATGATCTCATTCTCATCTGGTTATGGAGAAGATGACTCAATGTATGAAAAGCAAGTGACTAAGCAACAGTAGATATCATGTTCATTTTGAAAATATTGTTACATATGGTATATACTATACAGTGTTTGATCAAGCCACCACCAACAAAAATGCAAATACATATAATGTATGACTAATGTGACTATACTACATAAATCGTGTAGTAACTATTTCCAAACAGAAAGAAATGTCCAAAGCAAACTCTGGGTTTTGTTGGGGATGTGTTGAGTTCCCTGGTGTCAGTGACATAAGGTCTTGACTTGGAAGATATTGAGGATACAGATGGCCATAAGGAGTAGGAACACCAGTGGAAAGGGAAGGACAAGGAACACTGAACTAGGCTGTGAAAATGAAATTTCAAATTCTGTCCTAGACATTCTATGGGAGGGAAAGATCACTATAAAATTTATGTCCTATGATAAACATTCCACTGGGACACAAGGAAGACGCACCATAACTGCTTTAAGCAGGCCTCACGCTGTGCTTTCTGTAATTCTAGTCTGGCTCTTGAAAGCGTCCATGGAAATCCTGTCAAGATAAACATGAAGGTGACTGGAGTCTTAATGCACTCTTAGAAACCAAGGATTAAAAAAAGCAGCAGCAGATGTAAAGGCAAGGAAAGGACTGTGAGGTTATTAAGATGGGTCAAGTTATCAGAAGCTAAAGCTTGGATTAATCTGCTTTGCATGTTCCTGGAGAGTAGCTTCACAGTAAACCAGCAGGGACTGTTACCTGAGCCTAAGAACTTTCAGACAAAAGGGCTGAGAGGCTGATTTTATGGGAAAACCTTTTAAAATCTGGGGTAGCACTCTGTCCCCTCTTCACTCCTCTCTCAGACCCTCTTCTCTTCCTTCTCTAATTTCTTCTTTCAGTCAGTCCTCTTGAAAACAGAAGCAGAGGTGTGGAAAGGAAGAAAAATACTACACTCTAAGTTTGAGCCTTGAACCAGAGGCTCTGGGAATTGAGGATAGAGAAGGTTGTTTGGTTTTCTAAGGGGGAAAGGCAGAGGTCAAGTGTTCAAGCACCACCTTGATCTCTAATATTTCTGAATAGAATCCCTATTTTGAGGCCTCCACTTGCTGCCTCCAGAAAGCAAATGAAATAAGCAGTTTGAAGCTCATTTTCTGCCTCCAGTGAAATCAGAATAGTAACCATAGGCTTCTTTTGTCCTAAACAGGCTGTGAAGACCATGAGGACAGGCATCAAGGGCTCTGCAGTCTGAATGCCTGCTTCCTTTGGCTGCTCCAGTTTGGAGTCATTGCTCCCCAGGCTGTGCTCCCCAGGTTGTGCTCCCCAGGCTGTGCTCCCCAGGTTGTGCTCCCCAGGCTGTGCTCCCCAGGCTGTGCTCCCCAGGCTGGCTACCAGCAGCCTGTACCTCAGAACCCTCTTCTCTGCTCCCATGCCTTCATCCCATTTGTCACTCTGCCCACACCACTCCTCACTGAAACTGTATCCTCGCTCCTAGAAAAAGTACATTCCCTGGAGAAGCCAGAGACTAACTACAAACATCTTCACTCCCTAGCACGCTCATATGGAGCAGGTGCCTCTGCAGCCCCACCGGACAGAAGAGCAAAGTGGGACTTGAAGACCTACTCAGAGGCAGTCAGGTGCTAAACATAAAAAGAGGTTCTGTGATGAGATGAAGTGCATGTGTTGGAGTGTGTGATGGATGGTGTACATTGGGTCTGTTGTAGCTAGCTATTTATATTATCAGCCAAAGCATTTATGATGAACTCTATTCTCTGCACACTGGGTATTTTCTGTAAATGCCAACAGCATTATGTGTTTTGCTGAGAAAATGAGTAATGGCCCATCATCCCAAAGGTTTCCAGGCTTTATCCATTCCCTCCCAGGAGCTGGATTGTCATTTTTTTCATAAGAGCCTTGGGGTTAAACAGAGAGTGTAAATTCATACCTTGGCTTTGATCATGTTTTCCCCTAGAGTCTGCGCCTTTGAAAACACAATCATATTTATCTATAATGAAATTGCTGTATGATTCATTTGCCCTCTGCTTCCCTTTGCTGCTCACATGCAGAGAGGCTTTGCTCTAAGTCTTGTATTGAGGTTGTAACTAACTGTGAGGGGAAGGGAGAAAGACAGGGGTACCTGAGAGAAGGGATGAGACAACCGAGTTCTTATTTAAGAGGCCTACTGTCAGAGCCTTGTCAGAAGAAGAGGGGATGACACCTACCTGCCTGCCAACCTGGAAGCTGTGCCAGGACCTAGAGGACAGGTTAGGTGTCTTTCGAGAACTGTCTGTTTTAAAAGGATCAAATGTGTGGAATACATGCAGTGGCTGGGTTTCCTTTGGAATATTGTGGGTGTTTTTCTCTCCTAAGTATTTCTAGAGCTGTCATTCATCATTCCATCTTTACTAAATGGAGCCTGCCTCCTTTCAAGTGTTATTTTGCCCAAGGCAAAGTGAAACCATAACAAACTGGGTGCTGGTAAGAGGCAAGACCTGGAAAGATCCTACAGGGAAGGACCAACTAACTAATCCTCAAGACTGAGTCCCTCTCATCTGAAGCTATTCTGGGTTCCCTACCTTACCTTCTTAACCAAAATCATTGACTTATAATTTCAGAAACCTCAAAGTCTATTGGACTCTCCCAGGTTATTCTCTTAAAGTGTGATGTGTGCAAGATGAATCACAGATAGAGACCCTGAGACACCCAAGTCTGCTTCCTAGGATAGAGAAAAATATATAATACCAAGAACTTCTGATTCACAAATTAATGTCTTTGAAATGTGAGGATGTGTTCTCTTTGCTTCATGGGAATACAGATATTTCCCTTATGAACTTCACATTGGAGTTGCTTATCAAAGGCCAACTCAGCTGAAATAGGTAGAAATAACCTCAAATGGATTCCGAACTCATTTATTACTTTCATTGAACAGAGTGAAATAGGTTTGGTGTAAAATTAGATTTTTTTTTTACAGTGATCAAAGAGAATGTCAAACAGTGAAATATTTGTTAGTTTGTGTTCAGAAATATTTTCGTAGTAACAGTTATCTAAATGGTGTAATTTTATATTAGCGTGGTTGTCTCTGGGCTGCAGGGATCAAGCTCAGGACTCAAAGGAATTGCTGAGTTTGCTGAACATGGAGACAGCCAGGGCTGGCTGGAGTCGTGACCTCAGGCAGCTCCTACTCACCTTGGATTTCTCTTGATGCAGTTCTATCTGAATGTCTGTGAGTTTGGTCCTGAGGTCTTCGTTGGCAGCTTGCAGGGCGACAATGAGTGCCTCGGGCTTCTCGCCCTTATTTCGCCCTTTCTTGGACATTGTCCCTTTCTAAATGGAGTCTTTTGGGTTTTAATCCTCTCAAACAGGTACTGCCATGTTACTGTTTCATTTCCTGGAGTGAGATGTTTCAGCCACTACTGCGTGGTGTTTCTTGCTAAGGTCTTCTCAAACGCTGCCTTGGAAGCCCTAGGAAGAGACAGAGATGGTGGTGACTATTTGGTGAAGACATGAGTTTGTCTCAGTACATTCACTCCAAGCTGGAGTGGCCTGTAAGCACCCTTTCCTGAGAATCTCCTGTCTCTAGAATCTCCCTTATATATTTTGTAACTAACTTGCAGTGACATTTTCAATTCCATTGACATCTACTTAGAATCCTTTACCTGAAGCATATGTCTCTCACATTTCTGAATTCTCTTCCTGAGGGAACCAACCCATTCTTTTCTCCATGTCTTTCATTAAAACTCTGGTTAATGGAGACTTCCTAGTATACATACCTCAAAACCAAGAAATACTATATATGTAGCTGAATATTATTCAATGGTTAAAATATGAACAGTGGATAATAGCTAAGTAGATTACTGGATTGATTAAGTCACTCAGTTAACATTGTTATAGTTACTTTTAACCGCTTTTGTTAGTACAATTTTTTTTTAAGTCATAGTTTCATGATAGGAAAAATCAGTCAACCTCACCTCGTATCTTCCTATTTTCCATCTGTCATCTATCTACCTAACTTCTAACTAGCCATCTGAAATACACCTACCTACCTTCATCATCAACATTGTTATCTATCTGATCTCTTTGACAGGTGTTTTGATTGCCACACACACACAAATTGCTTATACATGTTGAGACAAGGATCTTTCTTTGAATCTTCCCTACACATAATGGAAGTGTCCCAGAAGATAACACCCTTGGTCTGGTACGTGAGGAGTGGATAGGACACCAGCAATGTAGACACAGGTGAAGCATCTTGGGCAAGAAAATTGCAGGTGCTGTGACACGGCGGGGAAAAGACACAGAGACTATTCTGGATGGGAATAAGATCTAAATAATCAGAGCCCCGGATCTGCCTGCTAAGCACGAATGCTGGAAATATTTGTTAGTAGGAGACTTAGAATAATTCCAGCTACAGGGTGTAGGGCTCATTCTCCAGTAAGCACCTGAAGGGGTGTTGAAATTCTTAACTGCTAAGTATCTAGCAGAGAAGTGTTTAGTTGAGGTTATTCTGGTGGCAGAGTGGGAAAAGAATGGAGATTGGAGAGGAAGTTGTGGAATTGGTCTAGTTAATGAAGACCTAACCAGAATCCTTTCAAGAGGAGAGAAAGGAGGAATATCTTCACTACTAGTCCTGAAACACTGCACTGGAACAAAGAGAAAATAATCAACATCCAACTGTTAACATCGAAAAGGAGAACATGGGACCAGATCTTCTCATATATGCTTCTAGAGATTGATTGGGTGGGATGCTGTCAATGAGAACTAAGAAACTCCCACTGATCATCCATATGTTCCAGCAGCTGCTGCTCTCTACAGACATTGTATTTGGCTTCGAGGATTGGAATCCTGGGCTAGGTGCCACGCTTTACAAACACTGTAGCTGTGCCCTTTGAAGTGTCTCCAGGGGACAGGGGCATGAGGCTAAGATGATCTTGGGACAAGAGAGACTGAAATGGTCTATACACATCATGGATTGATATAGCTCATTTCACCCTGGCACTGTTATTAGGGCCAAGAACCTGAGGCTACCCGGTTATAAGTCTCAGGAGACAATCATTGACTACTGCTCTGCTAAATGGACGTAGTATTAAATCGACTCCTAGTGACTTACTGTTAAACACAGAGGTTAGAGCATCTCTCAGATCTCATTATGGAAGGCTGGTTTTGCAGGGGATGATGATTGATGTTGAGACTCATGACTAGTCTAGGAGTACAGGCTGTGAAGTGCTCAGCCCTAAATGAGAAAGCTGTGCCATACCAACACAACAGTGTTTTCGGGTCACAACACTATAATTACACATTGTGCTGAATAGTTTTATGTCAATTTGATACAAGCTAAAATCACCTGAGAGGAGGGAACCCCAATTGAGAAAATGACTCTATAAGATTGGACTGTAGAACAAGCAGGTAGGGCATTTTCCTAATTAGTGATTGATGGGGGAGGGTCCAGCCCATTGTGGATGGGGCCTTCCCTGGGCTAGTGGTCCTGAGTTCTATAAGAAAGCAGGCTGAGCCAGCCATGAGGAGCACTCCAGTAAGCACCAGTCCTCCATGGCCTCTGCATCAGCTACTGCCTCCAAGATCCTGCCCTGTTTGAGTTCCTGTCCTGACTGCCTTCAGTGATCAACTGTGATTTGGAAACATAAGCCAAAACCCCTTTTGGTAGTTGATTCCTACTAGGAAGGAGAATTTTAGTTTTCTTTAAGGGTATGGCCCCTTGGAAGTGAACAATACTTCAATGGATGTATAAATCTAAGAGTATATAATGATATAAATTGATTTTAATTGTCTTATTTTAAAAAAAATGAGGATGAATTTGGGTGGATAGATGTGAGGATAGATCTGAAAGGGGTTGAGATGTGTGACTCATCCTTCATTATATGAAATTCTCAAGCACTAATAAAAATATTATTTGAAGAATGTATGGTCTGTATTTTCTGATTAAAATGTAAAAGATATTAAGAAGCATCCATGAACTCCTACCGAGTAGTATCTTTTAGCTTATAAAGCTAAAAGATTTATACCTACAAAGAGAAAACACATTCTAGGACACAGTGGATGGGTGAATAGTAAAAGCTCCAGAAGAAACTACAAGCAAATTAGGAAAGCATAAACATTTTATAATACAGCTAGTATGGGAGCCAATCCCACATCATACTGCTTTGTCTAAGTGCCTGGCACTGTACTACACACAAATTCACTGAGCTACCCCAGTCAGACCCTTCTGGCATTGACTCATCTCTTTTTAGACTAAGGAAAAAGAGGGTAGTTAACCTGGGACATGTTGGTCAGTTATGAAATTGTAGAGGCAACACTGGAATGCATATCTGTCACTCTCTGAACCTTAGCTATAGTAATACTTTGTTAAGGAGATAGTAGGATGCAGATCTAGCTGCTGGCATACAGGAAGCACACAGGATAGAAGTTACATCTGGGGGTTAATGAAATGGAATAGTAGGAGATATTCAAGAACCTGGAATTTGAAATCATAAAAACTGGATATCAATTAAGTTTCCTTATTGTATATTCTTGAACAATTAAATATTCTAAGTTTCTACTCTCTTGCAGCAGTATTTGGAATGTAATGTCCTTACCATACTGGGCTCTTTCAAAGATTAAATGCATTGAAATGTGTGATGGAAAGACTAGCAAATATTGCTGGTATTGTCATATTTACAATTCTTCATGGGCATAACACTCTTGATAAACACTAGTAAAAAATATGAAGGGCAGAACCAACACATTTATCACTCTTTTTATATTAAAAAGAAGAGACAAGGAAGACAGGGATCCTGGAAAAGAGCAAAAAAAAAATTATGCTTATGCTTGCAGTGAAATGGGGCTTTCATTGACAGGATAAGTATTCCCAGGGGTTTTTGGCTTTGTGGCTGCTTCTGCCTCAAGCTAGAAGCTGAATAAAATCATAATTAACCTCAAGCTTTCCAATAAGGCTGTTGCTGCTGAGTTATGATTTGAAAGCGATGTGATATGAAGTAGCTAGAGTTCACATGTGTGAAGCCAAATGCTCCAGCAGTTCTGCATAATTGATATTGGAAAATGTCCATCCTAAGGAAGCTTTGAGAGCTTATCTAAGCGTCTCTTCTTTCTGAAGATGATGCTTTTGAGTGAGATGCTGTCAGTGTTTAACATGAATGAATTACACTTGAGTGCATTATCCCTGCCAGCCAGCAGAGGCTCCAGTCTCCAAGCCCTCCACAAATGCAGATATGCTTCATTGTGTGCTCATGAGTTTGTCACAAAAATACAATATAAAGGGCTGCGATTTAAACCTTTTTAACTTGGAGATCTAGTTCTTCTATATGGCTGCTTGTTATTGCTATTGTGTGCTTGGAGGGGAAGGGCAACTCTCCAGTCCATCACACCTGTGTTAGGTGTAGATATTCAATGTAGTAGCGATTATGTACTTTCAGCATGGTAGCTGTTGGCCTTATATATTTATGTTTTTTTAAAGCTCTATCCTCTCACCAAATTGTCCTCTTTTTTCACATAATAAAAATAGCATATAATAAGAATTAGTTTAAATTTAATGCTATCAATACAAAAAGGATACTATTATATTAATACAATCCAAATATGATATTCTTGGTGATATTTATACATTTATAAAGTGTAGGGATGTAAAGCGCTCTTACTACACATGTAAGAAACACTTACTCTCTCTAAGGGGGATGCTCAGTGGAATCAGTGTCTGCTGGGAGAGACAAAAACCCAGCAGGTGACGTTCATCTACTGCATACTTTTGAATTTGGTCATGTAGCTCTGTGTTGATTTCCTTTCTCTTGCCTCAACAGCCCAGTGAAATCCCTTCAGATTTATCTTCGGCAGGTGGCTGCTCTCATTGAAGAGTTAAACAGTCTTGTTTGTCTTGGTACACAAAGTACCTGTCCACAAAAATACCACAAATCACAATTTATGTAGCCTTGTTCTCTATCCATAGAAAATGACAATGAGGAACATAAGACACCAAATCTACTTAAATACTTATAAGATTTATTATGAGAAATTGCTACTACTTTGTGAAAAAAACTTAAAAGTTGCTTAGAGCTTAGGCAGAAGTTAAAGTTTGATGCAGGATTTAATGAAAGAATAAAATTAAAGGTACTTTATCTAGACTTCAGACTAAGCTAGCTTGTCTGTTTCTTGTCTTGTTTTGGTTTTCTGAGACATGCTTTTATCATGCAGCGCAGACTGGCCACAAATTCTACCTTCCCACCTCTCCCTTCTGAGTGTTGAAAATACTTGGGTGTGCCATCAAGTGCATTCATTCACCAAGAGTTCTTACTCATTGTTTCTGCATACCACAGTCAAGCTTACTGTCTCTCCTTGGCATGGGCTTGGCCTTGCATCATATTCTTTTGTCTGAATTTAGAAGTACTTCATAAGGATGGGTTGCCTCATGGGCAAAAGTAAGTCTCTGTGTGACAAATTTCTTCATTCTCTCTAGA